GTTCATTTTTATACCAGTATTGTTTTGAACATGAAAAGAATGCTTGTCTTTTGAAGACTCGTATCATAGGCTATCAAGGCTGACCTTAGGACACATGAACGTCTAGGAAACGTACAACCTCAGGATGTTTTAGTGTACAAACTGTCACTTTAATGTCCTGTATTGCTCTTCAGGATGATCAGAATAAAGATATGGCTGAACTGAAAACTACACGGACGGAGGAGGTAGAAACTCACAGCCAGGAGGAACAACATGTGGATGTGGCTGCCAAAGAAACTCCTGCCACACAGGTACTTAACAAATCATTTATAGATTTGTAAAGCCATTCATTTCCACAGGTGTCTCTCAGGTCACGTGTGACATTCAGTTTTCCTGTCTATCCTCATGTCCTCGGTATCGCCTAAAGTGTTGTTAAGCGTGTTTGTAAGCCATTGCATATTTTAAATTGACACACTTTTGATCAATTTGCTGTTGTTATACAGCCTATATGATGATGCACTACATTTCAATAGGTTTCCTACCTTATCATTTCCAATAGGGCATTTCTCTCAGGCCTATTTGAAAACTTTCCTGGAGCTATATTATTGCTGATGTTTACTTGAAGTCTGCACATTTAAAAAGCCACACACACATTGATATTCTGTGATCAGACTGAGAAAGGCAACCTTATAGTTTGGAGCCGTTACCGCCTGATTTTTCAAGATAACTTTGCTAAACAGCCCCTGTGTCTGAGAAAAGTGTTCCTCATTACTCTTCCTAACCTTATCTCCACCACACAGCTCCAGGCTGCACTTTCTTGCAATTGCCCCCACTCCAGAAGAGGAACACAACACCTGCAAACTAATTTAGCAATAGAAACACGGTTAAAGCCGCAGACACAGAAATATTCCCCACTAAACTCGCAGCAGGAAACAGAAATGGTCCAAAAAAAGGTCACTACTACCCAAGCCGTAAATACATGTCACCTTAATGTCTAGCCACAGCTTCATATTGTACATAAAAACATTGTTATTAAGCTCAAGTTGGACTCAAAAGATAAAAGACACATCAATTGTGGATGCTTTTGATTAAATTGCCTCGGTCCGTTAATGGCCAACGTAATGTCTCATTCCCCCATTGTAAACACTCCTATCATGTTTCAGGCCAATGTGAAGGAGCTGTTCCCTCCAGATCGTGTCCCTCAAGTGAAGAAGAGTGATCATCAAGAGGTGCATCACCCCCAGCGCCCAGAATCCCCCGTCTCCCCTCTCCAACAAGATGACGACACCAAAGAACCTCAGGATACCTCGAGAGAAACTGTGGAAGAAGAAGAAGAAGAAGGAGAAGGAGAGAGTGACTCCTCCGTTCTCCAAGTGGATGAAACGAGTGTAATGACGAACGGGGAGCTTTCAGAGGAGGAAGAGGAGGGTCTCTCAGACGATAAAAGCATCCTACCTTCCTCTGTGTTGGACCAGGCCAGCGTGATAGCAGAGCGCTTCATCAGCAGCCTGTCCAGGAGGAGCAGCCTGGTCTCAGAGGACTTGGGGTCCCTCGCCTGCCCCTCGCCCTCAGTGGAAAATGAAGTCTTAAAAAGCCCCTCAGCTTGCATGGACTTAGAGCAACACGCCCGGATGTTGGCTCAGTCGTCTCCAGAGCATCAGGTGACCTCAGAGGCTGATCTGTCAACGCCTACAAACGATCCTGAACTGCACGCTCTGATTGAAGGGGAACTCGGGTCCACTCTCTCCAAACAAGACCGCCTCCTCATCCGCAAGATCAGGAAATACTACGAGCACGCCGAGCACCAAGACGCTAACTTCAGCATCAAGCGCAGAGAGAGCCTCTCCTACATACCAGCGGGTCTGGTCCAGCATCTGAGCCGACAGCTCAACAGTGTTCCTCAGGAAGAAGGTACCCCGGTCAGCAGGAAAGGCCTCTCTCGCAACCGGCCAACTTCCTGGTCAGTGTTTGACCTTCCTGGCTTGGAAAAGAATCGGAGCGCTGGAACTCCTCAAAGGACTGAACCACAGAGGGCAGTGGGAGCCAAGGCTAGGTCTCAGAGCATTTCTGAGGCCTCAGCCAGCACAGAAGAAGAGTTCCGACCTTCATCAGAAATGCACAAGGTTTGGCAAGAAATGGAGATGGCGGAGGAGAACGAGCACGTCCTGCAGAGTGCAGAGGAGACGCTTAACGACTCGAGCTTAGATGTGGCGCAGGATACCAGCGCAGACCTTTCAGACCTTAAAACCAATCGGCAACCATCTCTGATTTTAGAAGAGTCTGAAATAAGCTCCGCCGCAGATCTCTCCCCCATCTCATCTCCTACAACAACCTTTCCAGCCCTGGAGGGTGGATCCAGTCAGGACTCTACGTCTCAAGACAAGAGCCATGCCGACCAGGCCCAACTACCCAGGATCACAAGCTTACGGGCAAGTCTGGACGAGGACCAGATCCTGCAGGACATGGGGAAGATGAAAAACAAGGTGTTCCAGCTCGCACGTCAGTACAGTCAGCGCATCAAAAACAACAGACCATTGGTCTGGCAGAGGAACCGAGAAAAAGCGAACCAACAAGCCTTCAAGAGTTTGCCTGCAGTTCAAGAAGAGAAAGTGCAATTGAGGAAAAAGGGTAAATTAGATGCAAATGATTGCCATGTTGCTCTCTTTTGCAGTGACCTACTTCTTTAGCTCATGTAGAAAACTGAACAGCGTTTTGTGTCTGTTTTTTGTGCAGGTAACCCCAACCTGAGATTGCCCTTGAACATTTGCGATCAAGCGGTCATCCATGAGGAGCGTTCTCCAAGTCCGGAGAAGACCCCCAGCTCTGCAGCCATCCCACAGAGCCCGCCCCCGGAGACCGAGGCCTTCCATTGGCCTCACGTACAGCAGCTGCGCACCAAATACACAGACCCCTCCCACTCCTCGAGAGTAACCCGTAGCTGCACGGCCCCAAACGGGCTGCTGGAGTGCAGCACAGAGCGCTGCAATGGCTGCTCACACAAGTACAGCAGCTCCTCTGACCTCCACAGCGCTCTGACTGACTGCCCCAGCCCACAGTCTGAATCAGGGAACAAAGACAGTTGTGCTGTTGAGGATTGGGCCCAGCCCCTGCTGTGCAGGTGGAGCTCCTTAGACCACATGTTAGGGTCTCTTCCACTCAATGAAGTACAGAACCTTAAGGACCCTGTGAGGACCTGCCTGTCAGTCAGTCAGGTGTCTCTGACAAAAAGAGAAACAGACAAAGATGGGGACAGCGTTCTCCACGAGGAGCTGGACTGTACCAATAAGTCTGCTGCGCCGGGTTCAGGGAAAATTACAGAAAGTAATCTGGTGAAAAGCTTACGAGAGAAGTTCCAGAGCTTGACCACCAGCTCATGAGATACGATTTTATGAATTTTTTTATTTTTATTATCAGGGACTATCATGTGAAAACATTATCTGCCTGACACTTGCTTGTCAACATCCCTGTTTCTTTTTACCCCCAAAAGAATGCAACTTGTCTGCACATTGTTTTCACTATAGGTCATGGTGATGATGTTTGCACCAGTGAAACTCAAAGGGATATAATTGGTCTTTGGTGAGGCCAATAAGTTGCATGCAAATTGTCTTTAAAAAGGAGTCTTGCAATATTTGTACATTGGGTATTTGTTTGCACTGTATAACACAAGTTTATGTAAAATGTGTATATAGTCCCTAGTATCAAATTGAAGATTAGGTTCTACTTTATTCTTATTCTTATGATATGCATCTATTTGGTTTCCTCCCACTGTTGGTGATTGTTGCTATAAGCACCATAGCAATGTTTTCATTTAAGATGTCGACTGCCAGCTGGAGTTTGAGGGGAAGCAAAAAAGGTTTGAGCGCAAAACCAAAGAGGTTTTTTTTTTTTACACATTTCACTTTAATGCATGTCACAGCAGTAACTTGCTTCTACGTTAACTGTAGCTGCTTCTTAACCCCTTCTCACTTATTGTATCACTGGAGCTTTTATTTTTTCAATAAGTTGTATATTTCCTCTTTAATATTATTTATGAAACTGTACATTTTTGAGAAATTAGCCTTATGTAAATACTGACCCGTAGCAAGCCTTTTTACTTTTCCATTCCAGAAAAGATATTGTTTCATACTTGAAGTTTCCCATATTTTCAATAAAAACAGAAATGGTAAGTGTCCACAAATGTCTCCTTTTACTCTGTCATGCATTTGAAACCATTGCCGAGCCTTGTTAAATCTACAGCATCCGTGGTCCACTGGTTAAAAGAAATGAAGAGTGCTTTCATATTCAGACTCAGACAGCTCTACTTTTTTTAATGCAGGATTCAAAGAGAGTCAAGACCATTGTACTGTGTTAGTAACAAGTGGAAGTAATGTGTTTTATTGGCATGATTTTGTATTCTGAATTACATCACAAGCCGCAAAACTAAACTGAACTGACTTCAAGGTTTAAATAAAACGTGCTGTCAGGAGTAAATCTTGCATTTGTGACAAACAAATATTTATTTAATCAATGATTGGAGTCTCTGGGTCCTAAAAAAAAAAGAAAAGTAACATTGTTTTTATCTGCTTTTAAATATTATTTTTAACTTGATGTCTCTTACTTTAATGAAGAGGCGATGCCAATGTAAAAGACATGGGTCAATTACTTATTAAAATGACAGATTTAAGGCTGGTAGTACGATAAAGAGGGCACATGTGGTTTTTATATATAATGACTGCACACAGCCCAGCCTTTGTGCCTCAGGTTATGGAGGAACAGGCTTTCAGTTGAATTATCTGTGCGTTCAACAGTTGCGTCAAGCCCGCCATTAACAGACGGACTCTCACCGGAAATTAACACCGCCATCCTTCAAAATAAAAGCACAAGTACTGCTCAACACTCACAGCAATGTGTTCCCATTAACGGGTGTTTTATTTTTGCACTATTCAGCAGAACGTGCACTTTCTCTGTGTTTACTGACTTGATACTCATCCGCGATACCGACAAGAGGCGTGTAGTTCAACAAGCGTCTTGAGTTGCGCGTATAAACCAGTGGTGCCATCATCATCAGACTTCCTCTTGCACAAAATCAATTAACTTTAGATTTTTCGTTACTGGTTGGCACAAAATCATTAAACGTCAATTTCGTATGAAGTATGGGCTGCGCAATATCGGGTCTGGAAGCTAAAGGAGAGTTTGGAGAGAGGACCACAGAGGATGCTGCTGCGACTCCCAGCGAGCCTCAGATTCAGATGATCAAGGAGTCCTGGAAAGTTATCCGGGACGATATAGCCAAAGTTGGGATTATCATGTTCGTCAGGTAGGATGCTTAAACTTTGTTTGTACTTTTCCATGTCAAATGGTTTTAAAACAAAAAAAATCATGATTTCATGTTTCATTTAATTGTATTTAAGAACAATCACAAGACATAATGGAGACATGTTATTAATACATCTACAATTGAGAGAGTTCATGTATTATACAGAAACATTACAACCCAAAAACATACCCCACACTAACCAAAAACCCTGAAAACTAAATAACTAACCCTAACTACTTAATGGTCTAAACATTTAAAAAATAAAAAAAGTAAGATAATAAACACAGACACATTATATAGGAAGATTACGGTACATATAAATGCATTTCAGAGGAAAGTAAAGGTGCCATTCAGTATCAGTAGCCTTTGTTATAATGCTGTTAATCTCCTTTATTTTTCACTTCAAAATGGGATTATAATAGTGTGTTAAATGTAGTAGAAAGAAAAACAACTTTAAAAAAAAAAGAAGACATTTCCGTATTATGTTTAAATAATCAGAATAGCCATTGACTATTATTAGACAGCTCAGTGAAACCCCTACACTGTGTTCTGACCTAAGAGATGAGGAGGTGTGCAGAGGGTCTACTGATCCGCTGTGAGGATGACATGATGCCTGACCTTTTCACACGAGCTGTAAAGTGAACATCCAACATCTCTGCCCTCTGACCCACACAGCTTTCATTTAGAGCTCAGAGCAGAATCCCCCTCCTCCTCCAACCCTTATCACTTCCTATCACATCTTAATAACATTACATAATAACACCCGCCAACGGCCTGCAATAGTGCTATACAATTAAAGGTATTAGCCATCAGGAAAATGCATTTGATCAATTAGGATGATGACTAGCGTCCGGGAAAATCATCTTTGGCCTTTGGCAGGGAAGCAAACCGAATGAAAGTGTATGGTGATAAGAGTGCCGGACATTCAGGCTGCAGCATCTACAGTAAAAAGACTGCAGGGCACCTGGCTAGAAGCCCAGTAAATGCCCCTGTGTCCCCCGAGTGACCTCAACTGTTGAAGAGCTTGACCTCAGCATGAAAAGCCTGGAAAATCAGGGGCCTCTTGGGGTTCTCAGGGTTGTCAGGGCTTGTATAATGACTGATCAGTAATTATTACATTGAAAAAATAAATAGGAAAAACCTGTTTTCATTCTGCTCTTGCTGTCATTTAACTGACCTTATTATTTGGCAAGTGGAAGTCCAATTTATACAAAATAAGATACTCCAAAGGCCTGGATCTATTCATGAATACCACAGTAGTTATACAACCTCTAAACAGAGCCAATTAAAATTCCACTTGAACTGTATGGCTACATTGTATGCATGGTCACTGCATGTATGCAACATGACAAACATATTTCTGACAGGGAAAATGAAGAACAGCCCATTTTTACTCTCTCTAATACATAAAGCTTGGACAGGAACATTTGCAAAGCGTCTTATACCAGAGTGCAAACATTGGACACATGTATTCCATCAAATGTGTATTCTCAATACATACAGCTCTGGGAGAAATGAAGAGACTACTGCGGAAATGTTCAATTTCTCTGGTTTTGCCATTTACATGTGTTATTGATTATAATAAACGTTTTGCTTTATTTTATGCCGACAACATGTCTTCCAAATTCAAATTAGTTCATTAAGAGCAATCATTGGCGGCAAATCACAACTGAGCAAAATAACCAAAAAATTACGCAGTGTTTTCAAACCTCAAATTTCATTTTTAAACCCAATATAAATGTTTTAACTTATGGAAAATCTTTTTACTTAGCGTGATCTAAATTAATTTGGTGTATTGGTAAAGGAACATGTCAGTAGTTTGTAGAAAAGATATATCTATAAACCAGAGCTGTAGTTGCATTATTATTTAAAAACACTTCAGTTCAACTATGGGATGACACATAATTAAAACAGGCAGACATGAGAGTATGGTAGCGCATAATAAAATGTAAAGATGTCAAGATGGCCTGAACAGTCCCTCACATCTTATCTTGTCAATGTATTGCATTTCAACAGAGCTGTCTGTATTCTAATCTGCTTGTCAACGTGTGCAGATCTCATGTTTTCCTCAGCAACCATTAGAGAGACCGTCCCCTTTCAACCCATCTCTCTCTATTCATCAATCAATATATCAAAGGGGACGGGACGGGACTTGATTTAGACGTCTAATGTATTTATTTATGAGGACTTTGTTCTGTGTGCCAGGTTTAGAAACATGTTATTTTCCCTTTTTAGTAGTGCAGCAGCACGCCTCAGGTAGTCGGCCATGGGTCAACAGAATAAGCTTCTGTCTGAGTTTTAGGATATTAGATAGGCATCCAAGTCTTCTTTTTTATTCATCCATTCCACTGTTTGATAAATACGTATTTTATTTTTCGATACCTTCATGCTAACGTATCCATATTAATGAAAACTGTATATACATGTATGTAACATATAACAAATGTATCTTACGTGGCATATTGATTACTGATGTGTCATGAATGGATTTGTACTTCTTTTCAGTTTTCTCTAGCTTCCATGTCCTATGACTCAGTGACTCCAAATCAATACAGCATTGTATTACTGTGGTAGATTTCAGGTCTTCTTATACTCATACGAATATCTTGATGAAAAAAAGTCAACATTTATTCAATTGAAAACCCTTGAATAGCTTTTTATATTATATGACCTTATGACTCTGCTACTCTGGACCAGTACACTCGTTGTATGTATTTTATATGAATATTGGCACGAAAATCAGCAGTTTCTTTATTGAAAAGTCTCATTTATTTTTGAATAGCTTCTAAGTCATGTGACCTAATGGGTCCACTCCAATGAAGCATTGTATAGACAAAGAAAGTAACTAAAGAACAAACACAACATTCTATAAAAGGAGGTGTTTCCTACTTTTCTAGTGTAGTTTACAATGTTGTATTGATTTGGTGTGACTTGGTAACTTGACATAATTGCTATAAAAAAACCACAAGATGTTTTAATTAAATACAGGCACATTTCTATAAAAGAATATTCATTAAAAAAAAAAGGATGTGTACTATATTCCAATAGAAAGAAGGTTTTCTATACTGTATTCTTTGCACCATTGTCATACTGAAAGAGAACTTATAACCCTTGGTTCTCACTGCAAGCACAACAAGACCTTACAGCGAGACGGGGAGCTGTGTATCCTGGCAGCGTGAGTGATGGCAGGTCGCTCAGCTGGAGACTGGGAGTCGCTCTGATTGGAGGCAGCGTGATTAAACTGTCTGGTTAAAGAAAAGGATTGAGGGATAATCAGAAGAGCAGAACTCTATCAGGATCAGTGTCTGCCTTTAACCGGAACCCCGGGGACTCATCACTGAGCTTCATGTGGAAATGAGGGTATACATTACCTGGTTTAAAGACCCATCATGGCCTGTCACTGATTGCAGTTGCTGGGTGGGACTGAAGTGTAGGACAGAGTGAGAACAGAAAGACAGTCAGACATGAATCCACAGTGACAGAACGGCTGCAGGAGGGAGGGGGGGGGGACGCAGTGACAGAACAGCTGCATGAGGGGAGGGGGAGGGGGGGCGTCTCCAGTCGTTGATGAGCTGGACTTCACAGTTGTTAGACTCTTGGGGTTATGTCATATTAGCTGGGAAACACAACGGTGGTGTAGTGTTTTCACTTTGGGAATGATTATGACAGGCTTGCACTGTTGTTGTCTTGGCAACAGGTTGTTTGAGACCCACCCCGAATGCAAGGACGTCTTCTTCCTGTTCCGAGATGTGGAGGACCTGGAGAGGCTGCGGACCAGCCGGGAGCTGAGGGCGCACGGCCTGAGGTCAGTGACCAGTTCTGAATCACAGAACACTCCAGCCAATCAGAGGACAGCACAGGGTCAGGGTGATACGAGCCACATCTGCTAGGGCTTTTTAATATCTGAATAACAATAATGATCAGGATACAGCATGTTTTCTGGTTGTAATGTAAAGACTAAACTGCAATCTTTAAAGGATATTCCCTGACAAATATTTCAAACTGATTTTGAGTAAGCGTTTTCTGGTGATTTTCAATTAAGATATCTTGATTAACGAATTAATCACAAATGATTCCATTTAAGTCTGTAAATGATCATATTCATCGTCCTTTAGCATAGCATGCCATACTATAATAATAATAAAGATCTACAGGAGTATGGCTAACACATTTCAAAGACAAATAATTGTATAGATTTTGCCATAAAAATGTAAAATAAGGTGTCATGTTAAACATTATTCTATACTATGAATGCTGAATGCCATAATAACATTGTATTACAGTATGTCATTAGAAAAAGAAAAGAAAAGTTAAAATCAACCCGTCATAAAACTTTCAAGGTAAAAGGTCAAGCATGTCAAATTATAGTATACTAATTGTATTTTCCTCCTAAATAAAAGTAGGCCTACATGGATACTTTTCTCCCAGACACATAGAGCAGTGTTTGTGCCACTGACCCAAATGTAAAACTGCAGCGGCCATATTCAGTGTTATTGGAAGAACATGTACCCCAGCAGTGTGGCTCATGGATGGTTCTGATAGTGATTGGACAACAACGCGGCCACATCACACCAAGGGCTTTGACTGCAGGCTCTACTACATGGAACATACAGTCAATGTTTTGGTCTTTTATGGGAAAAACATAGAATATCACAATACTGTTCCTTTTAACAATACATGATAATAATACCATGTTGCACACGGCACAGTGCAGTAATATAAAGCAGCACGCCTCAGGTAGTCGTATATAATGATATCACAGCTTTCCTCTGCTCAGACACAGCTTGTAGCCACTCTGCTGTTCCCAGGGTGCATCAGGGCTCTCTGCCTTTCTTTATGCACGAGGTCAAAGCAGCCAATTACCGCCTGAGGACCTGAAGGTACAGAGGCGAGCGTGTCAGTATAGCACAATGTGTTACGCATCCCAGTGTGAACCGGCTGCTCTCAAATTCAGGGATAAGGCCAAATAGCCCTTCAATGGCACACAGGAACATTAGAACAAATTAGAGAGGAATACAGAGGGCAATACAAATACAGAGGGAAGAGAGAGCGGAACCTACTCCAAGCCTTTGTTCCATTCATCACCAAAACTGTCACACACACAGGCTGCAGTGATGGCTCACACACCTGCCAGAGCAACAAAGAGAATCCATCTTGTAGGGTTTTGTGCAGGGGGAGAATTATTGTCTTCTTCTGGGGGGAAAGATATTGTGTAATGTAATGCTGCATCATTAAGATACAAATTCAATTGTGTTAGTAAATGTCACCATGCAGCTTTTTAAGGCAGAAGAGTGTGACACTTATCCTCAGTGCTAATGGTCACACATGCAGAGCACACAGTGAAATGTGTACCCATCCTAGTACCAGGAGTCTAGTACTAGGAGTAGTGGGCAGCTATTGTCAACACCCGGGGAGCAATGGGAGTGGGGGGTTGTCCGGTGCCTTGCTCAAGGGCACCACGGCAGGGCCCAGGAGGTGAACTAGGACCTCTCCAAGTAGCAGTCCACACTACATATTTTAGGTCTGGTCGGGGACTTGAGCCGGCGACCCTACGGCTCACAGTCCAGGCTCCTACTGACTGAGCCACTGCCGGTGGAGAAGTACCCGGTGATAGTCTCTAATTCCCCACTTACTGGTGGATCAAGCAGGCTCTTTTCTTTTCTCCATCTCTTTCAGGGTGATGTCTTTTATCGAGAAAAGTGTGGCGAGACTGGACCAACTGGAGAGACTGGAAGCTCTGGCTCTGGAGCTGGGGAAAAGCCATTATCACTACAACGCCCCTCCCAAGTACTACAGTGTAAGAGATCCCAAACAGTGATTACTTAACAGTTTTGCTGCTTTTTTAAGAGGACTTCAGATATTTGAATTTCCACTGATACTGTAGATGTTAATCATAACTGCTTAATGGAAACACATGTACTCTTGGAGTGACACACTTAATGGATATTGTTACTAAGCCCTAAGCACATCAGTAAGTATCTGTCATAATTATTTTTCAGTACGTCGGCGCTGAATTCATCTGCGCCGTGCGGCCCATCCTGAAGGAGAAGTGGACGTCTGAGCTGGAGGAGGCCTGGAAGGTGAGGAGTGTGTCTCTGTGTAGTTTTAATCAGAGACCCCTTCTGGGTAAACGCCTGGTGAAATAGGCTGGATGTGTGCAATCAGCATGTCAGCTTCAGGTTTGTCTTTAATACTCCATGTAACATGTCAAGATGGAACCCAGTGCAACACCAGCCTGACTGATGAGGACTTACATGTCACTGAACCACACATGAGCATATTGAGAAAATGGGACATGGCCCTGTCACATCATGTTATGTCACTTCAAGAGCCCTAGTGTAATTAATACAGAGATGTTGCTGAGCTAGATGCATCTCTCTTTACTGCAGAGCGTTCTGCACGCATATAGGCGTGGATAAATTAAAGATGTTTAAGAAATTTTTCCTTATACAACACATATCCATAAAAATACGTGCAATTTGGTGACATTTTATTAAAAACAGTCTGTTTGAAGCTTAAAGTTATATTTCAAAATGAAATGTAACAATATTTACATTCTGTAAATCGTTCTGCTTTAATTAATGGCTTCTAGTGCCCTCTAGTGGTTGAAGTTGGTTATGGTAATTACATTTAATATTGGGCTTTTCTCACTTAGGACAAAATACCAATATTTAGAAAATATTGAACAAATATATTTCATATGCAAATCATCAATTACAGCATTATGTTCGGTTCCATATACTTTAAAATAACATACTGTAGTGACAATATCTAAAAACTTCCTCATGCTTTAAGTTTATCCCAGTAGTTTCCCCCCTCCTCTCCCAAGCTTTGTTTAAGAAAAAGCCTAACTTAAAATGTTTGCATGTTAACAGCCAACATCTTATGATAAATAAAGAATGATTACAAAACTGAGCTACATATATCTTCAAGCAAACCTCTATTACTCATCCTCCACTCCAGCAGTATCTTACAGCACTGTTTCAACAGAGAAAATGGGTTTTGTAAAGCAATGGCTGAAGATAAATACATATACAGCATTGTGACGAACAGTAGTTATCTGCATTCAAAACGGTTGAATGTGAATGTCCCCCATGTTCCTAAGGGGACCCTGACCCAGTTCAATGTGTTCTCCAGACCCTGTTCCAGTTTGTGACGGGCCTCATGAAGCGGGGGTACGAGGAGGAGGGTGACCGGCAGCGGGAGCTCGCAGCCTCCCCGAAGGAGAGACCGGACAAGAGGAACACAGCGATATGAGACTGGGACTCTTTAAACCAGCACAGTGTTCATGTATAATAGTGTATTTACTGTGTCTTTTCTACAACGCTTAATGTTAACCGTGATCATTGTTTGCTATCTTCTCACTATGGACACAAAAAAGAACTTGCAGTGGCTTTCAACAACGCACTTTATTTCTGAACTTAGATTCTGCTGCTGTCCTCTTTAATGAGGACCTGGAGCACAGAGACAATTCAAATGACTGAGAAAATATACCGGCCATAGTTTAAACCTGCCTTGTAATTAACTGAAATGACATTATTAAAATAACCAGCCAATACTTTGTCTCTGTATTCATAACTCAAAACATGCCTTTCAGTCAAATATAACTTTAAAGAATGCTTTCCGTCATGTCATCATTCAGAAATCCGATTCACTTTTCAAATCCCTACATTATCTTAAGCTAAACATTTTATTGGTGTTTAACAATTTAAGACGGCCAGTTTGGCAGCTTGGTATGAAATCGTGGCCTGAAACAAAAAAACTGCCTTTGTACTTCATGTGAAATAAAAAAACAAGTACTTTTCAAGTCCAATATTAAACTATGAAATATATCTGATCTGATTGACTTCTGTGTTTCAAAGTAATTTTGCAGTAAATTCATTGCTCATTTCATTATTTAGAAAAAAGATGCTTCTTAAGATGCAGTCAAATTGAAACATGGCAAGAGCGCACAGGTCAGCTGAAAATAGGACATAAATATGGACTCTAACAATTCAATTAGTATGGCAGGCAGGCAAGTGGTGGGCATGGATGTGGCTCCAGATGTGACGCAGATGTTGATGATGACCTGGTTCTGGAGCAGTAATTGTGGAGATTGAAAAAGGTTGACGTCCTGCATTAGTTAGAGGAATCCTCAGGGTGTCTGTCCTCAGCAGCCGGGATGAGACATGCACACAATGGCATGATATCAGAGCGGTCACTTGGTGGATGAACAGTGATTCTGAGGCCTCGGTGAATGGAGAGGGGGGGGGGGGGGCTCTCCCATCCCCTCAGATCCAACAGGCCAGTTTATGGTTATGTTTAAGAGTCAGTTGCTCATTAGGTGGCTTTAGTCTTCTTGCTTTTGCTTTTCTTATCTTTCTTCTTAAGTCCATCCATGTGAGCTCTTAGGAGGTTGGAGTACGCCTGTAAAGAATAAAAAAACATCTGATTATTTTTCTTTTAAATTCATGTCTGTGAAGTCTCCATCAATGGATGAGTGTTGTAATATTCTGCAGCCCTTCTCAGCGAGGGATGAAACTACTTCAAATGTTGATTTGCATAACGTAAGATCCCAGTTTCTCACAGACCGGCGGAAAAAAGGCACATTTTTACCCTACAAACATTTTAAGTATGTATGTACTGCTTCCACCAGTATCTTTGGGACCCATAATATTAAAACGAAGCTCCTGTTACCACCAGAACATAATGTGTTGTCAAATCAACCAAGAGAGAAACCTTAAGGATTGCCGCTTAGCAAATGATTAAGCTCTCACGGCTAATTGATCAAAGATAGACCACTATGAAACAGAAGATAATTGTAACAACATCAAGAAGATCAAACAAAAAGGGCAACAGCTTCAAAACAACACAGAAATGACTAAATGATTAACTCAACATACCATTTGAAACTTGATTACTTCTTTGGTGTTGACCTGAAACAGCAAGAAATAAGAACCGAGCATTAACAGCCTGTAGAAACCATTAACAGTAATACATGAAGAGATCAAGCACAGGAAACACCGGTCACTCACCACTGTGCTAATTTTCTTCTTGCCCTCTGATGCTCTGATGAGACATTTGTTGTCTGATGGTTCAAATGTGTCAGGGTTGCCTTTTCTGGGCGTTGGCTTGGTCCTCCCATCATCTGTAAACAAATAATCCATTTTAAATGCTTGGATGTTGAAAAGGGAAATTCACAGTTTGACTTCCTGATCAAATGTAAAGGTCAGGAGGGATCTGCTTACATTTCTTTAGCGTGATGACAACACTGCCAGATGATCTGCACTTCTGGAACAGTCGTGTAAGCTCCGTGAGAAACTGGACAGTGAGGCAAAAACAAATATGATGAACATTCATTTCAGATAAGAAGAGTTCATCACAGCAAGAGGACTGGACACATCAGCAATGCTTTCCACCGATATGAGCTGATGATACACTGTCAGTTTAGCAGACTCCATGTAGGTTAAGGTGCATTGCTTTATTATACCTTTCGTTTTCAGGTTAGTTGAAACATTTAATTACTTTACTCATTATGTTAACACCGTTTCTGCAAGAAGTTCTTGAAAGTTAAAAAACGTTTGTGCTGGTCTTAAATGATATTGCATCACACTGAAGGGTTTTACTAACGTTTGCCTACTTTCATTCGGCCCACATGTACGTTAACACCGCCTAATAATCTGGCAGTTGAGCATTGGTAGCCAAAAAGTACCTGGTTGTTAAAAGTATACATTGTGGTTAGCTTAACAAGTTTAGCAATTAGGAAAATGACTGTTGTTTGCCGATACTGTCTAGAGATGATTCGTTACTACTGAGTGCTAACTTACAGTACCCTGTTAGACGATATGGGTGTCTTTGTATGAAATGATAACCTGTTATACATAACTGTAACAAAAGCCAGTTTATGACTATTAATATATGTTTGAAAGTACATTCGCTGATAAACACATTTGCCATGTTAACGTATAACCAGTGTTAGCTTCAACCAATGGTTAGCATGTTGGCTAACGAGTCAGTTTGATGACTAGCCTAACGTTTTGCATCTGTAAGACAGCTAGAGCAAACAGGGTGTATTTCTAGTTTATCATCAAAAACGTCGAGGGATGAAATTACCACGAAATGATTTATGTTCTTACCGAATCATTCTCCAGCAGCACCATGACTCTGACTTCGGCTTTAGCGTCGGCTTACTGAAGCTAGCTGCTGTGAGTGAAGCACACGTACTACACATTCGGAGCCCCGCCCCGCGCGCCTCCGCGGGGGATACGCAGTTAATGAGAGCGCCACCTGCTGGTAGGGAGGGGAACAACACTCACATCCCTTCACCCGGTCATACTGGGTCAAACATACACACCCAACATTTCGTTTGTAGGCCACAACGGAGTTTCCCAAAGATTTGGTTTAATAAAATAAGATGATCATGTAGCCAGACAATGCTGTGTCATGTGTGTCGGACGGATGTGGTTGTAGGAGGGATATGTTGGTGTTTTTTTATTAAAACAGTCAACAATGTACAACCTAATTTTTTATTAAAACAATCCAACATGCACTGTTCTCCGGCTGGACAACTTTCTATCTGCAGCTGGAGCAGCTGGACCGTCTCCAAAGTGCAACGCTTTAAAGACATAATCCTAAAAAAATATTCAATCACTTCCCTGTCATAAAGAAAGGTTTTACCAAAATCACTTCACACATTAATGGTCTCCTATTGGTGACAATGTTATGTAACATTGTCACTATGATATTGTCATTATGAGCATTTATTAGGATATTGTCATTATGAGCATTTATTAGGATGTATTGAAAATATATATTTTCAATACATCCTAATAAATGCTCATAATTTGGGTGAATTTTCTTTTTGGAAATATTCAATAACTCCAGGGTTATTTAGTCAAGTTCTACCAAAATACATAATAAATTAATAATCTCTTGTTGGTTATACAATACAGTACAACATACAGTTTTTACAGTACTTCTCTCATTATTATGTAGAGGCTTTTACTCTGGACACAGAAATAATTTTGGCTCATTGATGTTCACATATATTTAATCTTTAAAGTATGTTAACAATTTATATGTAATCATTATACAATATATTAATTAATCATACATTCAACAATCAGGTTAAAACAAAAAATATAAATGATAGCTCTATAAATGTTATCAGGGTGCACGTGCATTACATTATGTAACTTACAAGCTTGCATATGGATGTCAGGGATCTATTTACAAAGACGCTTAATGAAAAAGATTTGTGTACAACTTGTATGAAGGGGATTATGGTCTTGATAGTGCACACTCTGACTGGTTGCCCAGGTCTGCGAGGTGCACAGCAAACTCGGAGTGCCAGTCTCTTTCAAAGACCGACTTCAGCTGGAACTGCAGGGCCTTGGTCTTCCATAAATGGTGAGGAGCATGCTGGGAAATCACCAGACCCACTCCAGCTGTGGTCATATAGTAGTCCCCTGACCAATTGGAGGTGCCTGAGGAACAACAGCATTATCTGGTAAATTATTAACCAATTCACATGCAACAAATAGACTTCTTAAGGCACAATAACTCACCAATATAGGCTACTTTATCAGTCACCATGTATTTATTGTGGTTGACTCGGGTGTATGGAATATCAGACTGGTTTCCCACAGGCACAATGTACAGTTTCTGAAAAAAAAAAAGAAGACAATTCAGAGGCTAAGATCTGGTAACTCCTAGCCTATCATTTATTTCAGGAGGAATAACTGACCAATTGGAGGCTAATATTGTGGTGAGGGCTGTCCATGGAGGCCAGAGACTGGAGGAATGGCATCATGGCTGGGTCAGAGTCCCGCCCACAGCTGATCAGCATCCGGATCTTAACCCTCCTCTCAAATGCAGCCGTTCTGATGGCATCATCAATGATAGGCCAGTATCTGTCAAACATAAACAATACTTTGTTAGGAAATTAATAAAAAGGTGTATCGATTGACGGAAACAGATGGTTTCTGTTGTGGGTCACCTCTGAGGCCTTTCAAATCGTGTGGTGGGGAAATACTCCATGACGGCTACGTCCACATAGTGTTGGGCCTCGGAGATGATGGAGAGAATTGCCTCCAGGTCCTGAGTCCTCGAAGGAGGGCAGAAAGATGGTGGAGAGCCCTTGGGTGAAACACAAATATTGAATAATTACACAAACAAAAGCTACCAAAACATTTGATTCATAAAATCTGATCTAAGTGGCAACAGATTTTAATTCCAGAGCTGTGGGTAGACCGTTTCACACTGTCCAGTAGAACAAAGGAAACTGTATAGTGAGGAAGAAAGTTTCTGAGTTTGTTAATATTTGGGAAATCTTTTTGTTATTAAAACATGTTTTGAGTGCATTTTGAAGTCAAAGGCTAAGTTGAAGGACATCAATTAATTTAATTGAAATGAATGTGTCCTGTATGTGTATCACCCTATTTTGTATTGCATTTTTCCTCATTCTTTCTTTTCCTGTCTAATTTTTAACTGAAGTTTTTCTTCTTTATTCCTTTTTCTTTGACTTATTTTCATGTTAATCAGGGATAGTTCTTATAAGTATACATTATGTGTTGAATGTTCAAAATCAACAAAAAAGAAAGAAAACCCACACACAGTCGGCTCTTTGTCCAACAGAATAACATTATCCTGTAAAAAGGAAGTGAAAGCCAAGGGGAACTCACCGTGAGGTACAGCCTGCTAGAGATATTATCACATTTCACCACTAGGGGGTGCTGTTTGTTGAAGGCAGTGTCATACTCTGCAGGCCAGGGCTGTGGCACAAAGCTGTGGGACTGTCCCATCTCCCAGTAGGACTTGAAGATTTTATGGAGGTCGTTTGCTAGACTGGAGCAGTTATAGACGACCACCCCCAGTTCCTTCACCTACAGACAGAAGAGAGTCGTGAAGTCATGAACTAAGCATGTGTAGTGCACACAATGTAAACAATACCTTGTGTTTCATTAGAATACTGTCAGCACTGCACATCCCTCTGAATTCTGCACATTGGAACTGCACTTATTTTATCCATTTTTTATTTTATTTCTACGGCTATACCTATAATTCAACCATATTGGATGTAAACATTACTCGATTTTGAATGTAGTTATAGTTTTCTTAAATAGTTTTTTTTATGTATGCACCATAACACCAAGAACAATTCCTCGTATGTGTTAACCGCAATACACCTGTTTCTGACTTCTGATTGCAGATTTTGGTGTTACCTGTGTGAGGGCCCTCCAGTCCATGTTGGCACTTCCAATAAACACGTGTTTTCTGTCAACAATCCAGAGCTTGCTGTGGAGGACGCCCCCCGTGAGGCGCCCAAAGTTCACCCTCCTCACCCGAACTCCTACAGACAACAGAAGGTGAGACTGCGGTTAGGCTCACATAATGAGGAACAAATACCACCACAGTGAAGGTAACAGAGGGGCCTTTCCTTACCTCTCTGTTTTAAGATCTCTAAATCTGTGGAGTTTGTTCTAACAGTGGGAACACTGGTCAGCACTCGGACAGATACGTTCCTGGAGGGCAACTCTTCCAGTGCTTTCAGGATGTCTCTTCCCTGCAGAGGAAAAACTCACCGTAGTTAAGACCTTTCCCACCTACAGATTTAACACAGATTGAATATGCAGGCATGGTGTTTCTTTCTGTTTTAGTTGATAACTCACAGCTGTGTCAGAGGAAGAGTTGACGTTAATGTCTTCCCCAGTTAGAGTCCAGTAGAAAGAGGATATGTCCACTTGGGACGTTGCCATGGAGATAAGATCTTTCCATACTTTTTCCAGAGGGATGCCAAGCGTAGCATTGGCTTTGTACTTCATGTGCTGAGGGATGCTCTCCACCAGGGCCATGCTAAGAGATAAACAGAGACATCTGCTGAAGGACTTGAATAGAAACAGACCGGAGAGAATTATAATTCAGAGAAAGACTCTAGAGAATAATTAGGTCAATAGATGTAGATAAAGTCATAAAGAGAAACAAAATAGGTAATTTGCTACATTAAAACACAGAATACACTGTATTTAGTATTAAAAACAGATATTTAAGAGGGATCTATTTTGTAATATGACATACGATAGGTCTTGAAATTGTAATAATCATAAGTGATAAAGTCAGTGTTTTGTTAAGTTTCGAATGTCTTGCAGATAAAACTATAACATGGAAGCATATGGTGCTAAATAAAAGCAAGCATTGGAAAAGTCAACGAGCATTCATATAAAAATAACGATAAAACAATGAAAATATATACAATATATCTGAATTAAAATGAAAAAGCTGTACAGTACACATAATGTTGAATATTGACGGTTGCGCATAAGCATCTGTTGAGTCAACTGAGTAGATGATAATCTATATAAATCTATCTTCCATGGGATTATTACCTGCACTGGTCTGTAGATAAAACACTACCACCAGCTCCCTGAGGAAGTGTCTCATGGTCTTTGGGGGGGTTTGGTCTTTCCAGCACAGCGATGGCCAGCAGGACCCCCAAGACGGTCAGACAGCCCAGAATCACAGCTAATGTCACACAGCTGGTCGACCTCTAACATCACGTTGGATAGAAAATCAATAAAAATAAAAATATGAGTCATAATAAAACAGAGTTAAAGAATATTTAATGTTGTCCTTTACCCTTTTGTTTGGAACATAGCTGTCATCAAGGCTGCTGTACAAAGAGGTCATTTTCTTTTAGTGCTCCTCGTCTGTTCAAAGGAAGACATTAATAAACACTACTACAAATTCGACCAGTGTAATGACAGAAAGATGAACCATAGGTATTGAAAGCAACAGTAACTTACACAAAGCAGATTTAATAAATGTCGGAGGCCACTTGCTTCTTCCCCTCCAGCTTCACTAGAAATGAATCTGAAGTGATATCTGTTTTACTGAATACACCACAGCGCAGTTCCTCTTTTCACTTTCATTTCAGGTTTTGCTAAGTAACAACATCAAAATAAAATCTAATGAGTGAAAAAAGTCAAGACAAATAACTTTACTGATCATATTTATTTGAAAAACCTGCAATTATTCTCGAACAAACTACATAACACATGAATACCAGCTTACAAGACAGCAAGATTACAACAAAAATCATTCTGGGTAAAACGAGGAGGAACTGATTGAATATCAAAAAAGGAGTCACAAATTTGACAAACAAGAATGACATTTCAGCTCTCAAACCTGCTCTAGACTAAGATGGAGTAAAGCCAAGGAGATTTTCTATCCCATGGACAACGAATAGCAGCAACACTTTGAGCAAGTGAGGTTAAAGGACAAACATTCAACTTTAGCTTGAGTTTGTAAACAACCACTGTCCCACCCTGCTCTGTGGCACTTAAGGTACTTCCCAATTACAACCACATGTACAATCTGGACGGGGGGGTGGGAGGAACGGACTCTTGCTGGTGCACTGGCTCACCGTCTTTACCCGATTCGACCTCCACAGCATCAACTGTTTACAATCATTCACAGGGCAGAGGTGGTTTCCAGTTTGCAGCATTATAAAGTCGAGGGGGATAATGTGCAAAAGACACGATTGAGAGGTAATTTCTATGACGTACAAATATCTTTACTTATTTACATATAGAACACGTCACAAACTAATCATTAGATTTATACTTTCAGATTCAAGCTGACTTTGTCACTTAAATGCTACATTTACATTACTCCTGTCATGTGAGGACCCATCAGAAGAGGAAGAGGACTCGAGAGGAAGCATCAGATCTAACCACAGAGCTCTGATATTCACTGTAGGTGTGATGTGATTAGTGTAAACACAAAGTCGTTTTATGATTGTCTTTGGCCAAACTTCAGAGCCGACTGTGGCATGGAAAACTAAAACTAGATGTAAGCCCCCAACTGTGTTCAACACACATAAAAAAACCCTCTCTTATAAGGTAAAGAGGCCAGGAATGCTTGGAAACCCTGGTTTTATAGCCGTGTGAGTGTGTGGTTGCCAGGTGACTAGACTGAGTCCCTCCTACCAGCCGGACCACACATTCCTTATCATTCCCAGCTGAACAAAATAGTGTCCGTCCACTGAGGAGGGCCGGCACAGAGTCGCTACACTGGGAAATGTTAACAGAAGAAATACTCAGGGAACTGGCTGGTAGCAACTGTGTGATATCACATAAATTGTCCTGGTACTAATTCTCATGTTGTCTCGGTTACAATGTCTCACAAAAGAGCTCCCTAATAAATACTTTTTACATCTGTTGATAAATCTGGTCCACAAAGAGAAAAGATGCAACAAGAAGACAACAACATTGGAAGGAAACAAAAAGGGAAATCAATGGGTTGAACAGGAGTACACAGTACACTACATTCTGCTGCTGTTCCTGCAGTGCTTTCTACCCGAAAGAAATATCAATATTTCCTCAGAAATGTGATTTGTCACTAAACATAGACATTTTATATACTCGTAGATTTCCCTAAGAAGATTATGCTCAGGACGATAAATAGAAAAACTTTCAAATCAGCTATGTTTCTCATATCATTGGCAAATAAAGAAGTCGACCTTCAAAACAGAGAATCAAGTATAGTTTAGAGGCCTTGTCGAGGTGTGGTTTATGAAAATATTTTGGTACTTCCTCAAATCTTCACCTCATATGTAGCCCTTGTGTACTCTAAGGGTGTTTAGGTCACTGTAAATGACACCTCTGTGTGGGTGTGTAGTGCTTATAGTGCAGTAGTGTTTGTTTGGAGGTAAAGGAGGCTACACTTCTGTGTTTACACTCTCACTTCCCCCCTCTTGGTTTCATATTGCGTATAACGGTCCGACACCTGTGTGTGGGGTCACAGCAGCAGATCAGCGCTGGTGGGAACTGCGTGTTGGTCTCACACCAGATACCCCGCTCTGACATCGTCTGGTGTCACAGCGGCTCTCCTCACACTCTCGCTGGGCCGGGGGCCGCCGCCACGTCTGGAGGCAGAGTGGACCGTCCTCCAGTCCCGTGAGGCGGGGGGTCTGGAGGTCTGGACCCCGGAAGAAGAAGAGGCTGAGGCCCTGGATGCTTCAAGCTGCCCACTGGGCTCCATCACTGTGTTTATGACTAGGGGAAAAGAAAACATGTAGAAAACATGTAGTTTGAATATTTAGCTTCACATAATAGAGTAGTAGAAGAAGTAGAAGTACAGATACTCGTGTTTAAAAATACTCTGGTAAAAGTAGAAGTACTGACCATACTTCTTTACTCAAGTAAAAGTAAAGAAGTATGGGCTTCGAAGTAAAAAGTTCCCATAACTACCAACTGTTTTAAAGACTAACTGACCTCACTTTATATTAATAGAACAATAATGTCATTGTTAGCTAATGAATGTTTCCATGCTGAACAACGGCAACATGACAACGTTTTCATCGGTCCCTCTTGTTTAGAGAAGATCAGGAAATGATGGATACACGGATCGTGTTCAAATCAATAGGCACGTAATGACTCTAAATAATAATGATCACGCCACCAAACACAGATTAGAACTAAAGGAACCAGCCTGTTTGGAAAATGTAAGAAGTAGAAAGTACAGGTATTTGTGTTAAAAATGTAAGAAGTAAAAGTAAAAAGTTGTCAGAAAAATAAGTAGTGAAGTAAAGTACTGATACCAGAAAAATGTACTTAAGTACAGTAACAAAGTATTTGTACTCCACGACTTCCCACCTCTGCACGTAATTATTAAAATGATAGTTTGTATTAATGTTGTTGACTCACCCTCAAGTTGTCGCTGAACCCTCCTGAGTTCTTTCAAGATGGATGTGATTTCCTGCAGTACAAATGTCCAATTCAGCGATCCAATACGATTAGCAATAATTNCTGTTTGGAAAATGTAAGAAGTAGAAAGTACAGGTATTTGTGTTAAAAATGTAAGAAGTAAAAGTAAAAAGTTGTCAGAAAAATAAGTAGTGGAGTAAAGTACTGATACCAGAAAAATGTACTTAAGTACAGTAACAAAGTATTTGTACTCCGCTACTTCCCACCTCTGCGTAAGACTACAAGGCTGGCCTGTACACACTTGTCTGCTTTCACACACACACATATAACAATACTATATACTGCCCTTCAACTATTGTGCTGGCAGCCACTCAGTGTTTGTTTAGGCTTAAGGTGTGATTGGTCTGGGCTGGCTCTCTAATTTGGTGCTGTCATAGAGAGCCTGCTGGATGACACACACACACACACACACACACACACACACACACACACACACACACACACACACACACACACACACTCTAATAGCTTCACACTGAAGGGGGAAGCAGTGTGGGGTTACCGGCCCAGCAGATGAATGGGAAAGTGGAGAAAGCAGCTTTGTGATTAGACGGTTAAAGGGCCACCCTCGTCCTCGGTTTACTTTTCAATCAATCAGCGAGTCGTTTCTGTACCGCGTCAGTATGACTTTCATCCGCTCTCAATGGACGACCTTTATTTTGAGGTAAAGCCAGTCATGCTTTGTGTCCCTCAGCGCTTTGGCCCATTTCTACAGGTTGACTCGGTCATTTAGAGTCGCTGCTAGCAGTTACTTTCACGCTAGCAGTTGTTAGGAATGCCTTGAAATAAGGTTGTATCTTTGACTATGGAGGTGAAGTACCCAGCATACTTAAGTGGTTTAAAGTTGTGAAAGCTTTGCTGTAAGGTGACTGACAAAACAAACTTATGTTGTTCTCTTTTCAGAAGGACTTTGACAACTACTTGTTAAGGGTGTGCTAGGTAGAAAGAAATGGCATAAAACAAAAGCAGGTAAAGTAGCTTTGATGATATGCGATATTTTTAATAACGTCACCATGAGTTCACTACTCAGGTCTCTATAAATTGACCATATGCATAGTCCTAAATAACATCCATCAGTGGTGTGTCCAGCCTGCGAATGTAAAAATGCTTTTCAGACACAGTATGGTTCACAAAACAAAACCCGAATCATGTGATTGGTTGCAGACAAACAGTTTCAGTGCATATTTCAGAATAAAATCAGTACTCCCATTAGAATTAGACATTTCTGACAACCTATCTATGCTTTTCAACCAACATGTACAACCAGAGGACAAGAGGGTCGAACGAAAAAACTTTCAGTACAACTGCAAAACATTTTTTGGGGCTATTTACTTAACCATGAACTTAGAGCACATTCATATATTAAGATTAAATCACAGACAACACCCAGACAGGACAACTTCATGATCACAAGTTAGCCTCACCCTAAAGCAAAGTCTGCTTCATCATCTATTTTACTCTAGATAGGATTTACAACATAACCATCATGCTGTATTGAGGAAGGATTAAAAGTAATGATTGAGACCATTATAAGGAAAACATTTAGTATTTAAAGTGTTCAGGTTCATATCAGTATGCAGTGTCTCTACTTTAAAGAGTCCTCTCCTGCTGATGTTCAGGTGTATATCAGTATGTAGTGTCTCTACTTTAAAGAGTCCTCTCCTGCTGATGTTCAGGTGTATATCAGTATGTAGTGTCTCTACTTTAAAGAGTCCTCTCCTGCTGATGTTCNTTAAAGCGGGCGCTACGGTTGACAGACAATAGTCGGACGTCGGCCCCCTCCTCTTTAGTCGTCTCGACGGACGTGACTCACACACACACTCCTTCAGGCACTAACCAGTTAAACCTGGTTAGTGTCGCCCCCGAATTGCATTGCCGAGGCGCCGCACTGCATTGCATTGCCGAGGTGCCTAACCAGGTAAAGCAAGGCCCATGCCAACTGTAGTACGCATGGGCCTCTTAGTTTACCTGTTACTGAATAGAGGGTACTCCGCAAAAACCCCTCCAATAAAAGATACAATCTCAAAAATGAGCGATGTCCACATGAAACTCCTAAAACTGAGACGTCTGGCAATTGTACGTATTTTTCGGAAGTATTGTGTGTTCCCCTGCCATTATTGGCCTTTCTTGTACTGTACCTGGCAATTCTGAGTTAAACTAGTTTCACTGGGTTTTACTTCCTACTGGTAAGATATATAAACAACGAAGAAATAGTGTTTGTGATGTGAACGTCCAAGAGGTATATCATGTGAAAAGATCTATAAAAATGTCAATACTATTTTTATTAATAAATTCCATATTATGTAACTTTGATTTTCATTATCTATTATTGAAATTAAATATATTCCGCGGAAAGTATAATTGGGTTCCAGCGAAATTGTTACTTTGTAAAATTTCTTTTCCGTATTTGTGTCCCCGTCAACCTTCCGAAACAACTTGTCTACTCAAAAGTCCCAACTAACTTCTACAAGTCTCTTCCCCGTCACAAAGGGTATGTATACTAAATAAACACCCGCCCGGCGGTGTTATTTATAGCAGGCGGTGTTTACCTAGAGTATTTTTCTTTTTTCATAATATTAAAAAGAAAAGAAAAAAAAAGTGAATCGGGAGCCAATTGAGGTCCCTCTTATAGGGACATTAACCAGTAACATTCAGCGGAAACCTTATTCCGCAGACGATTTACGGACTTAACATTTAACATTTACTATAAAACCCTCTTATTTGGGGTGTCTAGGAGTTGGAGGCCACACAAAGTGAGTAATTGTTGTGTCTCGTTGTTCTAGCAACAGATGTCATCGGTACTTGAGTGGGTGACCTGGTCGGGCTTATCCAATTCCCCCGGAAACCGGAAAGAACGGCCGCCCCCCCACGCCACGGGGGTGTTTATCTTAGTTTAATACACCTTTGTGACTCCCCGCAATGCCTAAAGTCATCCCTCCCTTCAAGGTCTCCCACCCCCGTCGCTGTGACTTCCGGACCAGGGGCTTCCACGCCTCCGACCTTCCCACCTTACCTCTCTTCCGCCTCAGACTCCTAGATTCCCACGCCCTGCCCTACATTCCCCCTCTCTAAACACTCCATGACCCCACCTCACCCGTACCTCCCTGAACATCCACTGCTCCTCCTCAAACATCCACTACGCCCTGAACTCGCCCTCGGTCACCTCCAACTTCTCTCACCCCCACTAACACGACGGTCCGGCGAACCACGCACACTCTTGGGACCGTCGACTCAAGACCTACATGACCTCGGCCAAGTCCAAAAACGACCCTTGGGGCCTGTCCGCAGACAACGTTATCAGGGTCTGCCCTCCATTTACTTTTGTCACTTACTCCAAGAGACGTTGTCAGCCTCTCACTACAGGCCTCAGACCTATACAAAGACTCCACCTTCTTCCGACTAAAACTATGACTGAACTACACCAAGACTTTACTTTCCCAACTTAGGTTATATTGCGGTTCCAACGCCTGGACTCCCCTACCACTCTTCTAACCTTGGCAGCTACACTCCTCGTCTAGAGGTTGGAAGGCCTCGTCACGGAACCCCGGTGTTGGTACTCGAGGTCAAAATAGCGACAATTCAAACTCATCCAACCACCAGTAGGTCCAAAATTAAAGCACCTCTGTCAACTAATCGCTAACGACTCTCCCCTCTACCCGTCTCCCAAAACACGACCTACATGTCAAACCCCAACAGCAAGCCGCACTCCCACCTATTTCTCTGGTACCGACGCCTACTACTACTCGTTACCGTTCCTACATATAACCATTTATCTTCCCCGGCTCGGAACCCTGAGGGTACTAACTGTCTTCGTGTCCCCTCGACGTCGGTCGCACACTGTTTGACACAGGCCAGTCTCTCATATCTCACCTTCTTCCCTCTCACCTCAGTCACTCCGTTCTCCTCAAGTCTGTCCGCCCACACCTCCTATAATACCAACTCACCACCAGTTTCCGACGTCTCTCCCGATCCTCTTAATCACATCACTACCGTCGGACTCAGATCGACCACTACTTCCTCCAGTACACCACTAAAACTAGTCCCGTCAGAGACACGGCACAACCCAGGGCCATCCGTCTAACTTTTCCCAAGTTTCTCGAGTACCAACCTGTACAACACTACCCACCCTCAACCAGCCGCTGACGAGAAAGGTTCTAAAATGGATTTCTTCCGTTCCAACCTCTAACCGGCCATTAATAACTCCAGTCAACCCAGTTCAGGCCCAAAGAAGTCTTACCCCCACTGACTCCGCCAAAACTTCCTACAACTATCTACGGTCAATTGTCCCTCCTCAAATTACTATAGGTGCTACCACCGTCTTGTCACACATCACAACGGAAATGGTCCTGTTCACCCTGTACCCCAGGTGCTCTCGTCACCTCGAACTGGAATCTCTGGTCTAGAATCGCTGGGTGACCTGTCGTAGGTGTCCCCTCTTCCGTCTCTCCACCGTCCAGACTCCTCCGCACCGTCGACCTCCGTCGCAACGAACCCTCATGCTCGACAACACGTCCATCGGTCCCCCCCGTCACGCAATTACGGGTTCACCTACCTTAATTTCATTCTAAACAACGTCCGTACCAGTAGCCATAGGGAACTCCGAGCCTGATTTGATGGTCTCTCAGCGGTGGTTTAAGACGGGCGAGGTTCCCTTTTGGCCTCGTCTCGACGTCCTGGGACTCCACTACGAGGGTCGGCGCTCGCTCCTCGTCTCTGCTCCAGTAGCGATTACACGACGGCAGTGAAACTCGTTGGGAGACACTACATTTTTGTACCCTCAGTAACAAAACAAACAAAAGAGTCCAGTGACGCCAGCCTGTTACGACGTACGAGTGGGTCACAGAGTCTCAGGTGGGCTACGATAGGTCTCTTTTGTGACTCGTTGAGGCGACTGTTTTAATTAATTCTACAATAGTATGTAGGAATAAGGGTACGATCTGACGTGACTCGGATCTACTTAGAATACATTTCCCCACATTGAATCAGTCAGTCGTGCTCTAAATATCGGTATTGTGTTATACCCGACTCTCCCTGACCCTACATTAGACGAGTTGTCTAATCACTCGTCTATTTTGACAAGGACAACTTTACAATGGGGGACCTTGTCTCTCGGTGTAAACCACTAAAGAAGATCGTCTACCCAATAACTTAAGCTTTTGGGTTATCAATATAAGTTCTTTTTTGCCACATACAACCGCCACTACTAACCACGCGCGCGCCGACACGCTAACCTGCCTTAACACTCCCTCCCCATGAATGAGAGGCTTAACCCCATCGTATTCACCTGTTTAACCGTTCTAGTCTAGTGTAATAAAAGACTGTGGCTTAATCCTAACAGGAAGAATTTCCTGTTGCCGTCCATTATTCAAGCCTGAAGACTTCAGACAGTAACCCACGTGTAGTCCAATGACAAGGTCCTGTCCCACCTTAGACCCTTCTTGTAACTACGTCTAGTTCCAATGTTGAGACGTTGACTACAAGACAAGGGTGTGCGCGGTTGTCTTCATTCCGTGAGCACAAACAGTTCGTAAGTGTTAATTTAACACGGTTATACGATTAGCATAACCTAGCGACTTACCTGTAAACATGACGTCTTTAAGTGGTAGGGTAGAACTTTCTTGAGGTCACTCCCAAGCTCGCGTGTTTGACACTCACTCAGTTGTGTAATTATGTTTTGATAGTACAATTATTAATGCACGTCTCACCCTTCAGCAGCCTTGGTTTCTATGAAACAACTGCCAAATTCATGTGGAGGATAAGACCAAGCTCATGAAATGACAGTGATGAATAAAAAGACTGTTGAAAAATGAAATGAGACTGTCAAAATAGTGTTTATGGACATGAAAGATGAGAATGTAAAAAGGTTTGTCGACCCGCAAAGGAAATCACCCGCACTAGACACCAAACCACCCCACCACTCAGTAATATAAATCCTCAGTAAGCAGGTATACTAAACTTGTGCCTTAGGCGAATAGGTAAGTAAAGACTAGCAAGAGAATTTGTTCTCCCTGGCTACCTTTTGCCAACAGTACAACGGCAACAGAAGTCGTACTTGATAAGTAATCATTGTACTGTAATACAAGATAATTATATTTCCTCAGTCAATCAGAAATTTTGTCAACCATCCAACTACCTTGAAAATGGAAGCTCTCGGGTATGAAGAAATCGAAAATGAACTCATTTCTTCATACCAGTCATAAGATGAAAATGGTCCTCATAAAAATTTGTGCTCACTAGAAATGAAGATGAGAAGATGATGAGATAATACACTCTCGGATTTATAAGTTTATGTACAAAAGAGCGTAGCCAAACGAAAGGCGGCCCATCGAGTATCTTGTGTCACTACCTCGGGTCACCCGTCGATACTTCGTAGGTCCGGAATCGGAGAGAAGAAGGCCCCAGTAAAAGAGAATAGAGAACGACACGGCCCGGGTGCCGTGACCTCTGCCAGGTGAGCACACGGAGGTCTGCAGCCACCGACCGCTGCGGGCCACCCGGGGCGGGTCGCTCTCACACTCCTCTCGGGACACTTGGTCTGCTACAGTCTCGCCCCACGGACCACACCCGGCTGGTGCGTCAAGGGTGGTCGCGAACTAACACGAGCACTGGGGTAGTTGGTCCAGCAGCCTGCCAATATGCGTTATACTTTTGGTTCTACCCCCTTCACTCTTCCGGACATTTGTGTCTTCACATCGGGAAATGGAGGTTTGTTTGCGTGATGACGTGATCATTCGTGTGTGTGGGGTGTTGCTCACAGTACAAATGTCTACTGGATTTGTGGGAATTCATGTGTTCCCGACACTCGCTCATAGCTCACTCGTAACACTCCTCCCTCATGGTTTTATAACCAAGTATTTTGCGGTGTGGAGCTGTTCCGCAGGAACGATTACTGATAATGAACTAGAGCACAAACTTAGTGAACGCAACATCAAACGTTTTAACTACCTACCTCTTGTATGACCTAAAACTTTCAACCCCACCAGAATAATCAGAGGACCTCTTACAGAATCTCTTACGATGCTCACATATATTTTCACAGCACTCCCTCATCCGCCCTCAGCCTCGCCAAGACACTTGAGCTATAAAGAAAGCACCATCTTTCGTGACGCTCCTTGTCGTCCGCCGCTCATTACACTCAATGACAGCATGAGGAGACAAGTTAGGGTACTAAAGGGGAAAAACAAAAGGAAGGTTACAACACGAAGAACAAACGTAGAAAAGAGAAACACCTGGTCTAATAGTTGTCTACATTTCTCAATAAATACATCCCTCGAGAAAACACTCTGCTAACATTGGCTTGTTGTACTCTTAAGTCACATGAGGATGTCTCGATGTACAGTTACAACAAGGAGAGTCTTAGCACGTTACAATCATTCGGTATCTCAGGGACTGATAGAGACCGATAGGATCTACACCAAAATCACGAGAACAGGTGTCAATCGCTATGCGCTGCAGCATCAGAGAAGACATCGACGACCAGAGGAGAGAGAGCTCTCACTCAAGAACTCACTTAACAGACAACAAGTAAGAATCTACCAAATTGAGTGTGACAGATCACTCAGACCTAGGCTCACGAACGATGTTCATCACACGAAAGCAACTTTTATTCTTAGGATTCATATAGATGTTTGACACATCTCGTAAAGTCGCTCTGTTTGCGACGCGCGTTATATTCGTATTTGTCGAGTCACTACAGGTTTTCGATTACATGTACGAGCACAAAACAGTGAAGAACATGAAGAAACTCAAAGAGAGGTAAATCAGAAAAAATATGCTTTACCACAATAATGGGAAATCATCGAAGAGAGATAATAAATTCTATCTGCATATCCAATAATTAAAAAGGGACACTAACACAATATATATACACGTCGTCTAAACTTTAATATGGAGCTAATTTCACTAGGAGAACCATATCGCGCCACTTTACAATGTCTGTGTACGTCCACCAAGTTTGTACCCAATTCTTCTAGTGTACTGTACAAGGTCGTTGTGAGCAAATTTGAAACAGAATTTTATTATTATGGCGCGATAGCCGACTTCTCCGTTTGTCGGGAGGTGTAGCTCGAAGCATAAATCAACGATGAATTATGCTTTACTAATTAGCGAATGACCCTTCAGTCCTTCCTTTCCACGTTATCGAATAATAATCGAATGTAAAGATAAAACGGATAATAACTTTATTACATAGTGAATTACCCATTCTCACAGCGTTTATCAACCTATAAACCTTTTTCTTACTCAATATCAAGCCACACTTATTGTTTTTACTTCGGCTGTGACTTTGTGTGTGCTCAGGGTGAGTTTGGCTGTGTTTCGCTGTCGCTAAACAAGGAAACCACACCTCCATGGAGCTTAGCGCGATTCACAACGTCCCGACCAATCAGAATACACTGTGCTCACAGGGAGGGTGGGGGCTGGAGCTACTGGAGCTACAACGAGCCGTTAAAGGCAGAGAGTGAAATTCAGTGAATACACGTAGTTTAAAGAGATGCTGTATGAGAAACCAAAGTGATTTTGGAAAATTGCACAATATAAATCTATTCTAATAGACCTCAACAATGGAATTATGATTAGTGGAAGGGGACCATGTCATGGGACCTTTAATGCTTTATTGTGTTAGATTAAGAGGCAACAGCCTGAAGAAAGAAAAAGTGATGTACCTGTTCATGAGCGGTTACTGCGGAGACAGGCGCACTGATCTCTTCTGCTGGGTTTGTGGCGTCACCATCACCCGCCACGTCATGAATCTCTCTCGCCAAGATAGCTAGGTCTTTAGCCAGGTCTTGACTCAACCTAGCAGGCGAGGAATATGTGTTAGAAAGATGACAGAAATAAGAAGTGTCTTTATATTTAAATTGTTTCTACTGTATTTCAAAAGGTTGATTTGTTTAGACCCTAGAATGGAAAATGCAGTAAATAAATGCTGAAGTTTGGCTATAGTCAGGCTTTCTTTAAACTTTTTAAAAACCTTACCTTGCAATCTCAGAACTGTGATTGGTCCAATTATTATAGGCCTCTCCGTCGTTGTTCTCGTCCTCAGAGTCTCTGCAGCGGGGTTTGGGACGCAGCGCGACCACGGGCTGAGGCCGAGCCTGATGACGAGGGTTGTGGGAAGCTGAGGAAGGTTGGGAGCGTTTGTGTTTAGGAGTGCTCTGGTTTGAGTCGTACTCCTCGTCTGAGGTAGAGGCGTAGTCAGAGCCTTTCTGACGTCTCCTGGAGCCTTGGGGTCGTGAATTGGTTTGAGTAACAGAGGGAGAGGATAGAGGAAGTTGGGAAAAAGGGAGAGAAGGAGAGATACCATCAAAGAATATGGGAAAGAAAAACACCACCAAGCATATTAGAACAAATCCTCCCAGAACCAGAGACAGAGAAGTTGCTGTGGAAGTGCTCATTTCTACATGGAAAATCTATCTGAAATGTCCCAGTTTTTTTTTCTCCCAGTTAAAACATTATTTACAAACTGAAATGAGTACTTCATTCCACAGAACAGCATCTGAGTACCAGCAGAGTACATACTTCAGTATAGAGTGCTCTGGAGAGTGAAGAATTTTGAACATGGCTAACTTTATAATATTCATCAGGTCCCATAATCCTCAGAGAACAATGTGCAGGGCACTTTTTATGCTCCCGTTTGCCCCTCGACTCCCACCTGTGTGAAGGCACCAAAATACCATGAAGACCACCAAACTGAACATCAAGGTCAGGAAAATACCAAACAGTCAGAGCGCTACTTGCCCTGGTCAAAACAATGTAATGTTAGTTTGATTAATTACCTGCTTTTATGAGAAAAGTATAGAACCCCGGTGTTATTTCCTGAAGGACACTCTATAAACAGAGGACTCTGAATGTATCAAACCAACTCACCACTTTAGTTGATCATGAAATACTTTGAATTCAGATTGTTTTCATCGATACTAGATTTGACTAAGACAGCAGTAAGTGGTTACACCAGTCATAATATTTGAAACCCCATGAAACAGGTTCATGGGAATTTCTGTATTATACTCACTTGTGGTGCTGCCGGTATACTTGGCACTATTTGAGCGTCCCCTTGTGAGAGGGGCCTTGTTGGGCAGGGCTTTCTGCTGCTTCTCTGCAGGCTTCAGCCCCGAAGTGGAGGCCCTCCGAGCCGAGCTGCCTCCTGACTCCGTGCTGCGGTTGGAGAATCCCGAGCGGATTGGGGCTGAAGAGGACTCTGTGTCGCTGGGAGTGTTGAACGAGCCCGCACGCTTACGAGGCATCGCCAGCATGTCCAGCCTGGAGAATTTCTTGGTTTCCTGGGGTTGCTTAGCCGGGGCGTTGCCGGCCTCCTGGGACATCCTGTCCGTCTCCGTGCCCTCGTTGTCTGAAGCTTCTCCCAGGCGAGCCCGGCGGAGCATGGACGCTCTGGTGGGTCTCGGGGCTGTCAAGCTGTTGGCCCGACTCAACGCCATGGACGTTCTTGTTGTCTTGGAGTCCTCTTTCTGAAGGGGCACTGTGTATTTTGTGTGTGTTTGGTAGCTGTTGGACTCCTGATCAGAGCAAGGTAAGCTGTGCGGGTCGTCACTGAGGTCTGTGGATCCGCGTTTCCCGACACTACGTCTGAGTCCAACCGGCCTCCTGAAAAACCCGGTCTGATTGTTGCTATCTGCTCCCAGAAAACGCATCTTTTCCGATGTAGTGGACTGGTAACTTGAGTCCTGACTAGCTATACTGCCTGAAGACCTCTCCCTATGGAGGCCACTAGCAGAGGCTTTACTTGTCAGTATATTTGACCTGGTGTTATTGCTATGTTGGCTCACAGTGCTGGAGGTATCCACATCAGACTCCGTAGACACACAGTCAATTACAGGAGACTGGGTTTTCTCTGATTGTCCTGCTCGGAGTTTTGCCTCCAGAGCAGCCAGGACGTCCTCTGTGTCCTTGAGGTAAGAATGTGTGTCCTGATTGACGGCTCCCTGGAATGATTCAGACTCTCTCTGAAGAGACAGGATAGAGATGTTGGGTAATCTGGCATTGCTAGGCCGCTCCTTAGTGTAGCTCTCTTGTCTGATTAATGGAGAGACACTACCCTCTGACTCTGAACTCTGATATAGGACAGGAGCCGACAAAGTGGGCTTGATTTTTCCTGAGTCCGGGCTACCTTTGGGTTTGGTTAGAGTGGCTGTTGAGAACATTTTGGTTCCATTACTTTTTTCAGTGCTTGAGTTTGAGCCCCCACGATCAGGTTGTGACTCCTCAGACCCGATGTAGAATGATGTACACTTTGTTGAGAGTTTGTTCTCTTTTGTCTTTTCTTCTGTGTCCGACGGCTTTCTTTTATTTTGCTCCACGATGGAACCGTCGTCTGACCTGCTGGCATCGCTCAGGCTGTCGGGCTCTACGTCGTCCTGCACCGATAACCTGTGAAGGCCCTCCTGAAACCTGGGGGTCGCCAAGCCCCTCTCCCCTACAATAAATGTCGAATGCGGGTCATAATGAACATGAATGCTGGGAGTTGGAATGTCACTCTTCTCCCCCTGCGGCACCTGGGGCAGGGTGCGGCGAGCTCTTGAACCGTCGCTGTCGGCGCTGTCGTTGTGTAGGGTGAGCGTGGCATTGTTGGTGATTGATCCTCGTGCTAAAGTGAAACAGTTTGAATGCATATTAACGACACGCACTAAAACGGAATCATTCATATTCATCAGGGCGTCTCATTATCATTTCAAATAGTCTGGTGTCTCGTCAGGTGGCTTACCCCCTGCTGACAGCTCCATCTGGGAGGAGATGTCAAAGAGGCCAGACGAAGGGCCAGATTCTGTGTAGCTGTCTGCCAGGCTGGCCCAGCAAGACATCCACTTAGGAGCCCCCCGCAACACTGCACCTGCTGCCTGGACCTGCACCAGATAACAGACAACTTAATCAATATAATAAAGATAGTAGATTAAACACTTAAAAGAAAGCAGTTATTATTTATAAGATTTCCTTAGAAAACAAAGTTAATATGACACACAACAGACAATTCCATACGTCATCCGTCTCATGAGTACGATTCAGGAATGCACCAATATGACTTCTTCAGGCCTGACCTGATACCTGGACTTTGTGTGTATATCAAGTAATAATTCCAATAAGATTAAAATAAAAATCGCGAAAATTAAAAAGGAATTTAATTCAAGCATTAACCTTTTAATTGCAGCAACAAATCGCTCATTAAATCCCAGTATATGATATTTGGTAATTTAATGGGATGGCCCCCGTTTTAACCACTAACCGATCCAGCTATTTCCAAGTCAGCATCGGCCAGATGTTCGCTATTGGTGCATCCCTAAGATTATCTTGTATCTGGTTAGAAAGCAAAGAAATACCAAGAACCTGTGAAGAAAGATGAAGCAAATCTAGAAATCAATGGAGAGAGAGATACACCAAAAACACAGAAGAAACCCCAAGAAGGCACATACAGACATTGGATTAGCGATAACATATTGATTATTCCACTCCAACATTGATCACACCCTGAGCAGAAGGTTTACCTCCACCAGACTCTGTCCCTGTTCTGGAGCTGGCTTCACCTCCCCACAGCTACTCTGCCTATGCTGCTCCCTGCTCTCAACTAGAACAGGACTAAACTCTGAGGAAGAATCTCCTTCAGTCTGGTTGGTTCGCTCTGGGCTCTGTAAAACACCAAACACCTGTCAGGAACAAAGCAGTGCAGGTTGATAAGTCGGACAAAGTACACGGCTCCTTCGGAGCGGAACTTTCTCCCTAGAGACAGAGGACACTGGTGAAAATGCAAATAAGATTTCCTTCAAGCAACGTGTTGTTATTATAAGCACATTCATTCAAATCAAGCGCAAAATAAACTTGCCTGGTCAATCTTGGTCCGTGCCTCCTCTAGCTCTTTATCTTGAATATCGGCTTCAATGGTGTAGGTTCCTGCGTCACTCAAACTGTCCTCCTCCTCGTGTTTGGGACCAACAGTGGGGCTCGTAACCTCCACATTCTGAGTTACCGGGGCCATCACAGGGGCCTTGAGGGCAACAGGCTGGTGGATAGGAGAGGAAGTTTGTGGCTGGTATGGAGCTTTAGATGGAGCGGGACTTCTCTGCGATATGGCCACTGTCTCTGTTTTAGCTGCTGTGGTGGGACTAGATGCATTTTCCTCCCAGCTGGCAGACGAGGACTGCTTTGCTTGTTTGAGAAATTCCGCATTAAATTCCTGGGCGAGTTTAGACCTCCGGCCCACACTGCTAAAGGGCCTTGCAGACACGGAGGAAGAAGAGCGGGAGGAATAGCTGGTGCTCATCCGGTCCTCTGTCTTCTCCCTGCGTAGAGAGCCAGCTCTCTGGAAGCCTGTGGAAGCAGGGCCCTTTAGAGGGACAGTGTATCGTTTGGTTGGGGTGGTGGTGGAGGCTGGAGGTGGGCCTCGTCTCTCCACCGCTGGGCTTGAGATTTTCTTCACCTTATCCAAAGAGACCCTGAGGCATGAGGACTCAGGTGGAGATGGGTTATTGGTGAAGGACTGGGAGCGCTTCTTTTGTGGGCCTTCATCAAAGAATTCAATGACAAAGGCTTGGTGAGGCTCAGCCTTGCCAAGACTGGACAGGGACTGAGGCTCTGGTGGAGAGCGGGACAATGCCTCCTCAGAGTCAGGGGAGGCGAGGCGTTGTGGTGGGGAGGCTCTCAGGGGTTGTGGGGATACATGGGACCCACTCAGAGGATCTGATTGGAGGAAATATCTCCCATTTATTGCAGGATCTCTTGATTCAACATGAGTATCATCTTCACTGTGGTTAGCTAATGATGGAAAGACAAAAGTTAGCACACTATTTCAATTAAAGTCAGTAGAGGTAAAAAACAACATTTTATGTGGGACTTACCCTTGGTGATCCTCAGAGGCGATGAGTCACCGTTTGTGCCATACAGTTCTTCAGCCATGGACTTTCGCCTCATCATGCTAGCATTGCTTTGGACCAGCCAATCAGCAACTTTGCTTTCTGCTGAAACCACCGCAGTGGGTGCGGTGACGTGCTCTGTGGAAGGTAACTTGTGCTGCTGGCGGGAAGAAAACTTTGTCACGTGGTCCTTGATCTTCATTTTCCCTGGCGTGCATTCGTCAAATTCGATGGTGAAGGAGGCGTGGCTTTGTACCACGGGGGGCGTAGAGGAGACGATGTCAACGGGATTTGGAGTGTCTTTGGTGGGCACCTCGTGGACCTGCGACTCGGGTTTCTTGGCAGCTCGTTGATGTAATTCTTTTGTTGGGATCTCAAAGTAGCTGGGCTCCCGGCGGTATGATAGGATGGACTTGGCCTGACTCTCGGACAGAGAACCGTTGACCTCATATCTGGACATGTCTTTAGCAGGCTCTGTGTGGTGAGGAGAAACGCAGAGATTGTTCTACTATAGAAAGAGTATCATGTTGGCATTACAAATAGAAACATTTGTATGGGTTTTGTTTCAATTTCCTCTTTCAGCTCACAATGAAAGTCAATCAAATGTCAGATGTACACAAAGCAACACATTGAGATGACGGGATGATAGAATGTCACAAAATCCCTGAAAGTGGGAGCCACAAAAAACAAATCTTCCAGCAGTTAGACTGAGAAAACAAATCTGCCAGTGTGTGTTTGGGTGCCAGTTAGATGTGGCCAAATATCACTTTAGGAGCTCAGAGTCCAGCGGAGGGTAGCTGAGCAAGAATAATCTGTTTCAGCCTGGGCACCATGAGGCAAACAATTACCCCTCCTTCCCCCTCCAGAGGCTTAGAGGGTCATAATCCATCACGAGGCTGACAGGCACTGCCCACTGGCCTGGCACGGTGCAGCCTGGCTAACACTCCGCAACTGGCACCCAGGGACCTGCTCTGTGCTTCTTATCATCCATCTCTCACTGACCCACAAAGGGCGTTAGATAGCAGAGCCATAGAAAACATGTCATTACAAATCAGGATCTGACTGACAGATGTGGGAAGGTCCAATGCAATTGTAGTACTGACTAGTATAAAATGACATTCTGCTGTAATGATACTTATGTATAAATACTATAATTAAGTCGGTTTTTTGTACACATTAGTACCATTTTAAGACACTAACCTGGAGACTCCTGTTCTGGTGATTTTCCACCTCTGTTCTTGGATTTGCTGGCTGCTTCCTCATCCTCGCCCCACCAGGATGGTTGGCCATAGAGAGGAGTGGGCTTGGTTATGGGAGACTCTGTGGAAGCTAACACACAAACGGACACTATGAGGCCCGTGGATCAATTCAGGCAGGAGCCAAACACAGAGCTGAATTTACATATACATTGCATTGCATTGACATGGCAATCTGTTAGTTAAATGAAAAAACAATGTTGTGTCTAAGTTTGGTCCTGTGACACATTGGAGCTCAGCAGGACATTAAATACGGCAGCTTTTGGGCTTTCTAAACCCCCCCCCCCCCCCCATTGCCCGTACACAGAGAGAATAGTGGGGGTTCAGCTGGGATGCATACAGTATCACACAAAACACCAAAACATAATCCTTCTGGTGAAAATCGGGACAAAACTAATCCTAATCTATAAAGAAAGAAACAATACAAAACATGGCATAACAACTGCATGTAACGTGAGGCTGGTTGTAGACATCGACACACTGGTTGCACTTTGATTGACCTTGGATACCATGCAGGTATTCTCCCTGATGCTGTTTGGTAACTGGAGTTTAGCCGCTAGCTTGACAGTGTTCACACATGCCGGCGAGCCTATACAGCACTAATCAGATCATCTAGAAGCTGCTTGTTGGCCTGATACACAGGCTAAGTACGCTCTCTGGATTCTGATGTGGAGGCTTCACAACTCTAAGCATCAACAGCACTTTGCCACTGTTGCCTTGGACACTCACAATAAGACATCAACACAGAGACGAGAGATGCAGAGGGGCTTGTTACTAATTCCTTTCCCCTTATCCAAGACTCCCCTTTTAGCCAAGGCAAGCATGAGCGGGTGTCACAACTCAAATGGACTGAGCTATGCTCAGCTTTTATGGACATTTAGAGCAAGATCTAAAAGCAGGCCAAGATTTACATAAAAAGATAAGAGTGAAGGAAATCTGCCAAAATCCTTTTCAATGTTTGTCCTGATTATGTGGCTTCACAAAAAGCTTGAATTCTTATACTTTTTCAGCCCAATACTTTCATGTTAGTCACATTAGATTTAGGATTTGTCAGCATAGATAATGGTTTGGGTCATTTTAGTATGAAAACATGATAAAATGGTAAATTACTACATGATCAATCTGTTAAAAAAAAAGGGTTTAAGCATTCAGGCTGTTTAAATCATGTAGTGCTGAGGTGTGCAGTATCAGGGAAGACGTCAAATATCCATGTTGTGCCCCTTCAGTAAATACTAAGTAGCCTCGGGACCTGGCAGAGTGAAGTAGGCCTGAGTCACACACTGTACAACTGCCCTGAAGACAGCTCAAGGATTGGACACACTCCACATCCTGCCCAGCTGCAGGGGAACACAACCAAGAGCACAGAGAAAAAGAGAAACACAGCTCTCGCAGCACTTTATGCTGTAAGCGACTGAATTTGACAACAAAATAAATTGTAACCACCAGAATATATGTTATAAAGGTCTCCAGTCGAACAAGCCCAGCCAAAGCCAACAGATATATATACGTTCACTCTGGTGTGGCAGACAGAATGTGTTTACAGAAGTGCAGCTTTGTTTTCTGTAGCATACTATGAAATGCATTCCCTATCTGCTTGTGACTGTATATCGAGCGAGACAGAGGATGCTAGTGTGTTATCTCTGTAGACTAGCTCACAACAACACAGGGAGAGGCTGCTATCACACTGCAGGGTGAGTGCAGGGCCCCTGGTAAACACGGCGCATTCAACAAAGAGTCTGCAGTCACAGGTTTACAGGATCACTGTGGTTAGCTTTAGCTGCACGAGATACAACCGCTCCCCCATCTTACTAAATGTTTTCCAGTTCAAAGGGTTATTTGTACTGCACTCTGCGAGTCTAATGTTGGAAAAGTCCTATTTTAAGCAACAGTTGTACTCTTCTCTCTGAGCTCACAGGGGCGATTAGGAGCAGAAAGCACGAGAATTACAAAATCAACAGCAGCTGGAATAGGTTTTGTCCCTATGAATGAGCTTCATTCACGAAGTGCTTCGCTTGAACTAACAATTCTTCGACTGTTAAACTGTTGCCTGTACTGTACAGCAGGATTTACTCAGCACGGCTCAGGGCAGAAGGCCATAGCAGCCACTGGTAGTACAAGCAGCAACAAACCCACCACCAGATCAATTGATAGAATCTTTACACCTTTCTAGTTCTTGCTCGCGTTGAACCATCAGCACCATGGTTGCCACCCCTCGTCAGCAGTCGGGGATGAATGACGTAGATAAGACTGCTTGTCCTTAACTCCTTACCCCAGGGCTAGTCTGGAAAGCTCTCATTCTGCCAACTCTGGGATGTCAAGATCTATTTCTCCACTGACACCAGAGGATTGCAGCCTCGCCACTCACATGGCAGCCTAATCTCACACCAGGGAAGCTGTTAATAAAAGACGCCAGAGCCTCCTCATGGAGTGATCTACCGTCAAAGCCATGTAGCACATGGAGGCGCAGCCACTTCTCTTCCTTGCGTGCGTTGACATGGTATTCAAATCCACTTGAGTTGGAACATTTTCCCCTCAGGCAACAATAATGTTTACCCTGCTTCTGTATCCATGAAAGCTGCCGACTTCCTGCTCATATCTGTTATAATGAGGTTTGTGTACCTGTAAGAGACTGGGCTTTTTGCTCGGCCTTGTCTTGAAGTTTGGACACAGAGCTTTTGCTCTTCTCAGAGCTCTGGAGCTGCTGTTTTTCCTTTGCCTTGGCCTGCAGGGCTTTCATACCAAGCTGCAACTGGCTGGTGTACTTCTCGTGCTGCACAAAGAGACAGGAGAGGAAACAGGATGTTAGAAACCTTCTGCCAACAATCAGTACAGATGTTCCTGTCCTCAGACACACAGGGTATCAGGAAGAGTCTCCACCATGGACTCCTGCTCATATTTCTATTTGTTGACAATGAATACTACAATTTCAAATGTTGAAGTATTGGCATTTTGAACTGGTAAACATTTGTGTTAACACTTTAAAACTACAATTTGTATCTTTCTTTTAATTTGGAATTTAACTAAGTCTTTTCAAACACTCCAACACCAGTTAGCCAATTTGTTTTTCAGACCACAGAGCTTATCAAGGAGGCTGACGACTGTTGGCACGGGAACATGACAAACTAAGGTCACACATTACATTCACACCTCCAATGGAAAAGCTGCATATTGTGTAATAGGTTAAGACTATTCATTTGTAATCCTTGTCAAATTTGAAAAAGACAGAATCATTTATACTAAAAAAAAAAAAGGGCGCTTCACTCTATCAATATAAAGGATTCATGGCAAGTAATCACTGCTAGCTCCAAAAGGGCACATGCTGTTGCTTTTACTTACTTTGAGAGCTTCCTCTGGGACCTTGTGTTGACTCCTCTCCAGGATATATACATGAGCATGTGCACGGAGAGTTAAAGAACACATACCTACCATTTTGCAAAACAATGTGAGGATATGTCTGCTAAGAATATATATGCACGGTTCGGAGTCTGACCAGTAAGTAACCCTGTTTGTTGGAAAAGGGACTTGAAAGAAATACAGATCTGTTACCTAAAGTATGGTACATGAGCAGTTACTTTAATACATTTATACTGAATATAATATCATGCTTGGTTTTAACCCCTAAAGAGGTCAAAAGTACTTTCTTCTACTGCTTCCAAGAAGTAGAAAAACAGATAAGAAGTACAGGCCTGTTGCAATTTAAATAATGAAATACCAGACGGGTTAAACATTGCTCGATGTCTCTATTCTCTTAACTCCCCGCCCCAGTGATATTTAAGATTCAACATTTGTGAGTGTTATGCCCTGGGGTCAAAGGGGGTAGGAGATTTTCTGTGCACAGTTGACCATAATCTAAACCCCCTGACTGAAAAACCGCAGGGGATTAACATGCCAATGTAGCGAAAGACCACAGAGGGAAAATCAAATGTAAAAAATGTGTGCCTCAAACAGCTGCCAGACATTGGCTTATTTCAGCGTGGGCTGCTAATCACCAACTGAAACTGCTCAAACTCGGGGTTACATCAAATCACAGTTACGCTGAACATTTGTCTATAATTATAATGAATAATACAGAAAAAGGATATCGTAGCCAAAACGGATGATATCAGAGAGCTTGAGCGTGATGTATGTCTGGTCTGGGATTCTCAGGTCATTCACAAATGTCTGCAAAAGAAAGACAAGAAAACATCAAGCTCAACTACCGTCCGCTGGTCACTAATGAAGTCAATGTGCTGAGTCACAGGTCATTCCTACTGGCATGCACCCAGATACTGTAAGGTGCTTTGCAATCGGCCCTTTTTTCCATTGAAAGGTAATCCCCGAGCACATAAAAACTCTGAAGAGATTATGCTGTTATGCAACGACTGTCTCTGCTTTTGTACGATGCTTAATGGCCATGTGGGGATAAATAAATGCAACTGTGCTTGAATGTGTTGATCAATCATGCTATAGTGTGCCTAAACAGGTGAGACAGGGATTCCAGAAATTATCATCAGAAGATTGGCTGAGCAATCTTATCCTATACTGACCACACTAAGATAACTGGAGGAAAACGCAGCAATGCTGGATTTCAGTTTCAGCTCCTTGTGCTGTTCTGCTCTGATTAGTTTGGCTGCAGTTACCCAGGCCAAAAGAAACACTCTCTGAGAACAATGAAGGGTTTCTCCCACTGCTCAACTCTGGATTTCGGAGGGATAATGGTGCAGTGAAGTGGCAACAGATCGCTGAAGGGAGAAAGGCGGGGGTTAGCGAGTGAGATAGAAAGAATGGGGGAAAAGAAAAAAGGGGTTCCAGGCCAGCAGAAAAAGTCAGTCTCCTGATTACCACCACCAACCGTCGGTGGCGCACACAGAGAGGCAGTCTGTGCTCTGGGATATGGATGTGGACGTGATTAGGAGTCTCCTGGGGGCCCAGGGGCTGGCTCCTCTATCACAGGTATTCTGACACTAAAGATGGACTCACTCACCCCGTTCAGGCTGCCCAGGTCCTTCACCATGTGCTCGTCCGTGTTCTGCTCGTAATTGATGACAGCATGCTGTTTATCCACACTGCGGGACTGGAACGACAGTAAAGGGAAAAGGTCATTAGAGATTCAACCATTGGTATATCAATGTTTAATCATTTGTCATTTTTCAAGCAATCTGTTTCTCCAACGTAAGAAGTCACCCGCCGACTAACTACATAACTAGGCATCTGAAGGTATCAGCTCCAGTTCCTGGAAACTGTATGAGCATGTTTTCTACTTTCCATGAACTAAATTCATGAATTTATCAAGAGGGTCGTTGGTAGGTTCATCGTTAAATAAAGTCAACGCTGTTCATCATTATCATTACTTCTTTATGATCCACATTTAAGACTTGAGAGGGCATGAAAATTAACATTTAGGCCGAGTCAGACCCTGTCCATACACCACACACAATCCTTTAAACATTGCTGTAGATTACACTTTTAGATGGCCCTCATCTACCAAACTCTGCCAGCGTAGCTCTGACCTGTTGCCCACAGTGCAACTGCCATTCACCAGAGTGGAAATGTGCTTATTTCAACTGCCCATCAATTATGCGCAAACTGTACACGTGACTCAGCTTGACTCATTCTCTCCTCTCTGCTCATTATGCACTCTGGGCCTCCTCGTCACAAAAATCACAAAGACAGAGATTACTGCAAAATGACTACCGTGATTCAATTGTGCATTTGTAGCATTGGAAAAACTCCCACACGTCTACTAACTGGGATAAACAGGGAACACAGGCTGTATATAATGTCTGTGTTTGCCTTTTCACTAAGTGGACTTCCAAATAGCTTTAGTACTGCACTGCCTATAAAGTATGGCTTATTGTTTAGCTACTTGATTAGCTTAACTGTGCAACACAACTAAGAATTCATTCATAATTTGGTGACCCTTAACTTAATGTTGCCCTACTAGAAAATGTGTACACTGCCGCTAGGAAACAATAAGTATACCACACATTTGAGGAGGCTTAGGGTCTGATTACTGGTTATGGAGATAGAGACGCTGATCGGACACCAGTTGTCATGGGAAGTCCAAAAATTCAAGTCGAGGCCCTTGGCTATTCTAAGAGAGAGGACTTTAACTCAATCTCTGCTTTTCAAGCCAAACAGGATTCTCATGTTACAGATATTCAACAGTTGTTTGAAAAGGAAAAATGCAATAAGCCACGGAAAGAAAAAGATTAAAGGGTTAAAAGAAGACACTGACTGTAAGCCAGGTCAGGAAGGAGTGCTCAGCAACTAAATGGAGCTACAGAAAAGTCTGCATCATTTCAGACTGGGAGAAGCTGAGGTTTTTTCTTGGATCCGGCAACGCCTAAATGTGGACATGAGCAACTTCTCAATCCGAGCGACATCTGTGGTCGGGAGGCTTTTTTCTGAGCATAAAGCACTTACTAAGTAATGTATAAACAACTGTTTCTGAGGCAACATTCCTCTTTCGCGGGGCTAAATGCAGAGAGTGGAGAAAATGAGAGGGAGAGTATTATACGAAACCCACAAAAGAAATTGTGTTTATAACGGACGCTGCATGGAAAAACAACACAGTGGAATGCTTTAGCTGCGTTTTAAGTCATTGTTTGAATGACCGTCGGGGGCAACTCTGTGTTGAGGCTGTGTCACATGCACACACACACACGAAGCATGTAGGGAGCCTCCCGCTGGTGTTTCACATGGTTCTGTGACTAGCTGTCCTGTCAGACATCATTTTTGACAGGCTACAGTGAAGACCAGTTATAGTTTATATGACACTCTGCTGATGTTTGCCATATAAACACTAACTTCTCTACAATGTCATCACCAAGGCGAACGCACACACGATACCTTTCTTAAAACATACAAATTCACCCACCTGCAGCATTAGCTCGCAGTCATCCCTGCCAACGAAGATCATCTCCCGTGGCAACCGGTGGCGTGTGCCAGAGCTGCTGACCAGGAACCATGACGTTACACTCATGTTGGGTCCACGCGTCAGGACCTTCTTAGCATCCTGGGAAAAGAAAACAATACAAATATTTGAAAGAAACCTCAGGACTGACATTCAGAAAGCATGGTCCAAACTCAATACCTGTGTCCCTGAACAATGTCCTACTAAACAAGCTGGTGCTTTATTGTAGAGATTACTGAGGGGAAGTTACCACCTCACCTGAGTAAGACCTGTTTATCCATTGAATTCCAGTCTGGCAGTTATACTATTGAAACAATGCAATTAAATAACAACTCTGAACATATTTTGCATGTTGGTGAGTCATGTTAAAGAGAGGCAAGTCTCAATGGGACAATGAATGGTATTCAGTATGTTAAAACAACTCACACATGCAGTCAATAAAAGGACAGCAGACATTATAAACTCCTGTTTTCTGTCTCATGAAGCATGCTGGGAAACCTGTTGCAAAGTAGCGCCAGTGGGAAACGTAGCTAACTTAACAGTGGTCAGGTTTTTACTTCCTGTAACCTTGGCTGACTAAACATTACGGCATGGGAAATATTGGCCAACACGGTATTTATATTTGATTTTACAAGCTATGTATTGTCTCGTAATGGCAGTACTATTTTATTTCAAATTACACCGCGGATTGCTTGACGCTGTCGGTGACAGTGAGGCGGTTTAGCTAACGTTAGTAAGTCTCCGCTACACCGACACAAGCGTTTTCCAATGATTCTTTTCAAACAACGTACCTTTAATGCCTTCTCCGTTTTACTCTTAAGTGAAGCCAGTGTTTAAAGTCGTACAACAAAGGAAACTCGACGACCGACATGTACAGCAAGAGCACCAGGTAAGTCTGGACAGGTAAATGTCGATCACACCCTCTTCTTCCTCTGGGAATGACAACCGGGCGAAACTCTCCAACGCCTCTTCTGCCCACAGGGTGACGTCACGTGACAAGTCCATCAAACGCTTTACCAGTTTGAGTTGAGAGCTGAGGGAGGGAAGAGCTCTCACTCTGATGGTTTCCAGGTGCAGAAAAAAAGGAAACAAAATGTTAAAACATTAGTATCATTATAGAATTCCATATTAGTTTTGTTTAGAACAAAAAAAAAGTAATATTATTTAATTTAGTGTAATTAAAACAAAATAATAATCTATCTAGGCTATATATGTTATGAATTGTTGTTTGACAATGGAACAGCATTTTTTTAGTTGAATTGTTTTGGTCATTTGTGGTGTATGTGTTTGGACGGATTAGGAATAAGTATATTATATCCTTGACCTTTACTGAAGTCAAAGCAGCAAAACCCAACTATTATACTTTAAAGTACTATGTTACAAGTAAGTCCTGTATTCAAAACGCTTATTTTGGTTTTTATAAAAAAAACAAGGCCTATCAAAAAAATTAATTAAACTGGTTAATCATTATAACATTATACCCGCTGACAATTGTAATTGGAACTAATGACAACAGCCTTACTAGGCAAAAAGGTTTGCAGTAATATTTTCATTGCTTTGTGTGGGCTTTAGTGGAAATGTATGCAATAACTTACTTACTTAGCACCTTGAGATTGCTTTTTGCAATGAAAGGTGCTTTACAAATCCAATATATTATTATTATTATTAACTTAGAAAAATAAAATTGCAGGTGAAGAACGCATGTGTACGGATTAAGCACCATTATTGCTGGCTAGAATTTGTTACCATCGAGTCATCTTGTATATACGATCTTTGTCTCTGTGCACGGCCGGCACGGCCACAGGACTTTGTTTATCTTGTGTGTCACTCTGGCTCATCAACAGGACGGTTAATATACCAGCTAAAATATACAGAAATGTAATGTTATTATGTAGCAACAAACTAACATAGGAGTCTCTAATGCATCATCAGGGAAAAGACTGGATTATTAGTCAAACAGAGGTTCATTATTGTTGTTGAAAGGTGTGTAAGAGCCGAGAGCACGAGCAATTAGGCATAGGTTAAATTAAAGGTAAATTCAAATTTAAAATGCAAAATTGAATTGAACATGTCTATATAATAATTTACTTCAAATCCAAACCAAACAAAACATCTGGTGATCGTGTGTCAGGATATGGAACATTAGTCGACCTGAAATGATTTTTACATGAGACCAGTAGCCGCTAGATGGCGTTATAGTTCCATCTTTAACGTAGCGATCTCTAGCAAAACTTCCACTATTGTCAGAAGATTGTTTCAGGATGTTAGAGGGAATTTCACTGGGGCCATAACGTCTTAATGTTTTGCTGTGTTGATGTAATTTAGAAACCATCATTAAATTGCAGTGCGTTAGTAGTATGTAAAAAGGGGGAATTGCAACATCACGTTAGTAAATCCATGTGAGGAGGAAGACATCTCTACTTTGTGGTAAAATAATTTTTTTACATATAACAAGGACTCAATAGACTTGGAGTTCATTAACCTGTAGTATAGATATTCTAAAAAAGGTCAGTTTAGTCTGGGTGTGTTTTCACCTCTGCTCTTTGAGTTTAGAAGGGGCTTGAAGTCAACAGGTTGAACCGGTTTCTGAAGGCCCTGACCTCTGTCACACATTTGAAAAGCCCCTGAAATTCCTCTCTTCCACCAAGCCCCATGAAACAGCAAAAACACTTTTATTTTCACCTTAAACACATTGACATGCCACTGTATGGAAAAGCAAATAAAAAGGATACAATTAATGATGGCTGAATGATAACTTTGTACATTCACATATTTCACAAATAAAGGTTAACGGGTTTCCTTATGAACATTGAGGGTCAAATGATAGAGGGTGTACTATGTAGAACAGATTCTAAAACCCCTTAAGGCACATTTGTGACTTGTGATCCTGCTGGGCTATATAAACAAATGTCCTATGTGCTCCTGCTTTCACGTTCTCCTTCAGTGTCTTTTTGTTTGTAGAAGCATATTGCAGTCAGTAAGGAGAATTACATTTGAAGCCTGCCTCTACAGCTGATCTTGCGCTCGCGACAGGCGAGAAAGAAGATTTTTATATAAATTATAAAATGGTTTCCAAGTGAAATATGCAGTAATTGGCTAATTTCTTTAGAATATTTTATCATAAGTATAAATGACATCCTCTTGATTTTTAGTGGCAACTGCATTTAAATCTGTCATGTATCTCAAAGCTTCCAAATCCTCACCTTCACCTGCCTCAATAGTAGGCCTACGACTTCTTATTTATCATTTATATACATTTGAAGGCAAAATCATTATTGGATAAAGTATTTTACCTTTCATGTTGAAATAAGGAATCCCATTTTCAAGATGTTATAAGATATATTGTATATAAATGCCAGCCTCCACCTCCTCTATATTTGGACATATAATAGGAAACCTATTTTGTGTCTGGTATACAAAGAAGAGAGCATCTCTGGGTGAGTGACACTTCCCTCACCCAGCACAACACTACCTCACCCATGGGAGGCCTGGAGCCGCGGCCTCAGCTCTGCTCTGTGTTTCTGGGCAGTGCAGCTCGACTCAGGTGAGGGATGGTTCGGTTGTCAGGTGAGCGCCACACTGGGCCAAGCCTCGGTCTCACTGTGTGGCGCTGTGCGTTGCAGCTGGCCAAAAGACAGACTGTGAGCTCTGGCTGTCAACATCTGCTCCAGAGACTGTACCATCTGCCCGGACCCCGCAGGGGAGCCTCTCTCCCGTCTCAGACCAGCTGCAGAGCCCCAGACGTGGACCTGAGCAGTCCTGCAGAGCACAGAACACGGCCAAGACACAGTCAGAGCCGTTGTGTGCCGCTGGAACATTTGTCTCAAACACTTAGCTGCGTTTTATCTGTAGGGTAGGGTGCCATCATAGCGAGGTTTAGATAAACACATTTCTTTGTGGTTATTTTGATTCCTATTCCTGGTCGGTACTCATCTCTTTGAGTAATATTTTGTAGGTGGAGGCCATGGGGGCCACTGATATGTTCGGGCCCCAAGGCCTTTGACTTGCAGGCTGGTTCAGTAATCCATCCATGATCATGGTTAGCCAAAACAACCAAATTGATGAGGTAGATTTTCATGTAGTTTAAATAACTTTGTATGAAAATGTATGATCACGGAGAAAAACAAGGAACTAAGGTGGGAATAGGAAGTTTAAGAAAGACATTTGTGTGAAAGAATTATACTTAAGAGCATTAGAAAAGATTGGATTTCCTTCTTTACGACTCCTTTCAAAGTTTTAATTACTGTACTTTCACAGTGGGAATGTCTAGACACAGACAGTAATCAATATTTCACAACATGGTTTATTCAGATGTGAGACTTTTAGTTGTTTCTGGTCTCAACTCAATTGTTTTTCTTTAATGTAAGATCTCATAATAAAAGTCTGACTCTACACAGTGTTTTTGTTAAGACCTTTTATTTCATCAATTTCAAAGAAACAAGTAAAAAGTTGTACAAAGTTTATATTATTTGTTTACTAAAGCTGGTGTCCTCGGTCTCAGGAATATGGGAGGGCAGGTACAAAAAAGTTGAAATAAAAAGTATAAAATGTATTTCCCTATTTTCAGAAGGTGACAGCAGAAGGGTGAGCGTGCATAGGAGTAAGTAACAATCAAAAACGGAACAAAAGGCTTGCAAACGATTGAAGTTAAAACAATATCATAAAAACCATTACATTCAATAACGTATGATGCACCTCTTGAAAAATGATGTCGTCATAAAAAAAAAGAAATACTGAAGCGCTTTTGGAAACTTCTTAGTACACTTTGAAATAGGAGTTTCAGTGAAGCCTCAGTTGTCTGTAAAGGGGGGGGGGGGAATCATTCAACAAGAAACTCTTGTTTTATTTGTATCAAAAATGTTAGAATTTACCTTATAAAATAAGCTAATTCAGTATTTTCCAACCAAAAAGTACAAATACAAAGCCAAATACAATCATTTTGGGGCAGCAAAGTGCATATCATTGGCACAAGAAAACTCATTTTAGTCAATGCTGGTCTCATATAAATAACTCAGAAGCTCGTGAAGGGATAGAAGTCCCCTAAAGTAGCAGATCAAAGATAACTCTTTGTGTGTGTTTCCCATGAAGCCCAGTTTGTCAGCAAAGTATTCCTAAAGAAGTGTATTATGTGTAATGACCTCATTGAGGCTGCAGTGAATGCACTGGGTGGAAAACACCCAATACTGATCTGTACATGGAGGAAAAATCCAGAGGAGAGAAGAGTTTCTGATTGGTCAGCAGTGAGTGACCCTGATCAGAGGAAATCAGGAGGTCTGCAGCTCAGCATCGAGACAGCAAGGCATCAGGAACTAAAAAGCACCTACTTCAGGAGGGGTGGAGGAGCTAGTTATTATCCTGAACAGGAAACTGTGGGGCCTCTCAGTGACTTTGCAAACAGTCAAGAGGAATGCATTACCTGAATGATTAACCACTCTGTGACTCCTCACATTAGACCCGTTGTGGTGAAGTATGATAATACAACACACTGATTGGTGTCAGTTTTGCATCAGGGTAAGTAGAAAAGTGATACAATACAAATCCCCTCCCGAAGATTTGAGTCTTAGGAGAATCAGTCATGTGTTACAAGACACACAGAAATGTTGACTTTATTTGATACGGTACATTCACTAAAAAAATTCTAGGAAGTCTGAATGGTACTTGAATTGTTCAGAAGTCTTAAGAGAGAAAAACATGGATTGTTTACCCACTCGATAAACAACACACTCTGCTCACGTGATCTTTTTTGGTCCGCAGTATGCCTGTGTTCTATTTGAAATGGTTGATTCATATTCAGTTGTATATTTTTATTACAAAAACTCACATCAGTGGCCTAATTTGTGCATAACATGACTGCACTTCCCTATTCATTATGGTGTATGGATGCCTGCTCAGTATACAACATAACAACTAGGAGATGCAGGGTAGTGTTGAACTCTCTCGTGCTCAGTCTTCAA